CTTTCGCCCTCGCCAGGATCCCGGCGTATGTAAGACCGCGCTCCTCCGCCTCTGGCTGCAGGGTGAGAACCACTGCAGTAGAGCGAGGTGTGGTGAGCCTCGCGGCCTGGCGCTTGGCAGCCACTTGTACCTTCTGGGCCTGCTTTTTGGCCCGTCGGCGCGCCTTTTTCGACTTTTTGGCGGCGCCCGCAACCGTCCACTCCGCCTCAGGCCTGGTAGCGGATTCGCTGGTGGCTGGGCGAGATGTGCTACCTGCCTTTTTTGCCAGCTTGGCCTCTTTTTTTGCCTTCCTCTGCGAGGCGGCAGTCGGGGTGGTCTTCTTGTGACCGGCAGAACCCGCTTGTGATGGTTGTGCGGCATGGGGTGCCTTTTGTGCGGCACCCGCCGCTGGTGCCGATTTGGAGGCACGGGGTGCTGCGGCTTGGGCTGCGTATGTTGGTACCTGAGAATTGGCCTGGTCTCCAGCTAGAGGAGGACGCAGAATCCTCCCTTCAAGCACCGAAAAACGCGCGTTGAAACTCGCCATTTCCTGACGGATCAGGCGCGTCAACTCCGCATCCTGCGACGGCAACTGTGGTTGTTGTGGCGTTGTTGTAGGCGGAAGGCCCACCTCCCGCCTAAGTTGCTCGCGCCGAAAGTTGGCCATTTCTTCCTTAAGCTCCTCGTGCTCCTTGCGGAGCTCCGCCATTTGTGATGCGAGCTTTTTGTTTTGGGCCCGCAGCAAGGTCGTCTCTTCGGCTGTCGTGCGAGTCATAAGTAACTGCGCACTCTCCATGATGGAGGCCGTGGCTTCTTTGAGTGCTTTCTTGCTGCAGCCGCTAAGGCCCTTCGAGACCTTGCTCACCCGTCTTATGGCTGCAACCGCGTCAGCCAATCTTTGGTTTAAGTCGGAGGCAGGGAGCTCTTCTGCCTCTACTCCTAGATCCAAGACGACAGATGACGATTCCGACAGGCGAGTGACTCTCCCTTCCGTCACCCGTTTTGTTAGAGCCGCAATCTGCCGCTCGTCCTCCTCCAGCTTGTCAGCACTTGCTGCGGCTCTCATTGCAGCCGCAGCCTCACGCCTGGATAGGCCGATACCAGCATATTTGCCGGTAGTAGCAGGCCTACCTCTCCCTGCTTTTTTGGCACCGACCTTGGGGGCCGGCACCGCTGTGTCGCTTAGGGCCGATTCCGACCCTGAGATCGCACTCTCTCTCGGGCGTTTACGTAAGCGTTTCGAGTTAACGCTTACGGCACTCGCCACACTCATGTGACTAGACGCACTGTCCGAGTCCGACAGCACGCCCATTGGCTCAACTAGTACCAGAGGTACTTTGTCTCTCACTTCGTCATTTTTTATTTGGTTTTGTAGGTTCTCCATAGTGTTCCCACGAGTATAAAGCAAAGAAATGTCAACCCCGGGCAGAGGCTTAAGTACCCGGGTAAGCCTACATACTGCTGGGGGCGGCAGGTACCAGCAGGTGGGAGCGCTAACGACCGTACACCCAACGGCCATTCATCCCCTCGCCGCGCTCCCAAAACTTGGGATTGGGTGGTTTTTTATCTTAGAGGTGTCCTTCCTCTGGGGCCGGGCGGTAAAGCCAAGCCCCCCGACGGCGGCATTAAGACATGCCTCCGTCCGCTGTCCGGCCAACCCGACTCAGCGGACCCGCCGAAAGGTTTTGTTCCTCAATGAATGAGGAGACAAACGAACCCCGCATTGACGCGCCTGCGCCTAAGAGGGTGTGGTCACGTCCTCACCAAATCGAATAAGACGACGGGGCAGGAGTGACCCCTCCTGCAGAAGTTAGCTCCGGACAATAATACTCCTCTTACGCGAAGTGATTATTGTCCGTACCCAGGGTGCACCGGTCCAACGACTGCTCTTCCCCCCGGACGTATCCACAAGGGACCAGCAGCCGCCGAACGCACGGGGAGGTCTTCTGCACGCACCCCAAGTAAAATATTTAGTTTATTAACCTATAGATAGAATGTGTCATAAAAATTGGAAACATTCGTACTGTTAATATTATGTTACAACAATAATTAGACAATATATTGTATCTATGACCTCTTAGTATTTCAATTTCACCGAGCTACGCGATAATCGTACCCTCTGAAACAATACCTTTATCATATAAACCTATGCATGAGTGTGTAATCTCCGAAAAATCTGTCTGTCAGATGTCATTTTTTGTAACCTGTCAACAACAAAGTTCTAGAGACCTTTACTACTATCTTTTGCCCCTTTTACCTTTCCAGCTCTACCCTGAACCTACTTCTTTATTTCTAAGAACATTTTCCTTGCAGTTACAGATACGACCTAAATGTTTCTGTTCTTATTATTTGGGAAACAATTTAACAAATCGTTTATATAATAGATGTTGTAAAACTTTGAATTACATTCAGTTTGATTACTTTTCATGTTTAAGACTTTTTATCGAATAAATGGCAACCAAGCTGAATCTCAATGAATAGAACAAGACTTGCTAGACACGTAACTAAAGTAATATTGAATATTAAAAGAAAACGTGAATTAACTGAGAAAAGCTCAACCAGTTTCAAGTCAAAATGAGACTCATTGATAAGACAAGTCGAGTGATCACGCGGCTGGGCCGGCAAACGCTTGGAAACAGAGCCTAAAATCTACGTCAATCCCCAAGTATTCCCAACTTAGAGTGTGACACAATAAGCGTGGCATGTAACACTGATTCGACTCAGGAATTGAACCTAACCCCATCGCCGCTGAACGAGCCGGTCAACATCGTCACCAACGCTACCGCACCGTTGCAGTTGGAAGCAAGCGCACGCCTTTGACGGTAGCAGGCGCAATTCCAGCTGCGTGAAAAAGAGCCCCGTCGTGACTTAAAACTGGAAGAGCGTTTCTCAGTCGTTATTTTCATTAGTATGTTTCAAGATTATTACTAAGTAGAGATTTAATAAAAACATGAATATCAAACTTTGTTGAGATTTTGACAGATTACAAAAATCTAGATGTTACAGTTACAGTTTATTCACCGTTAATGTCCTAATTCGTCATCTCTTTATAAAAAAGCTCTTGTTAAATAGGTTTTTTTTTTAAGATGTTTATTTACCGTCAGACATATGTTTTGTTACAAATTACTAAGAAAATATAAATATTATTACAAAATAAGTATCCTTGTATTAGAGATAAGTATGTATCTTATAATCTAATATGGCTTATTTATTGCTTCTTGATATTGCCACTAAATACTAGATAGCCTTGTAAAAAGGCAAGTTGAATGTCCATAATTGCTGAAGTTATGGATGCGATAAAAAAAATAAAAAAAGAAGCTTTGACATTTTGAAATATGGGGAGTATTTGTGTTCTTATTAAGTTTTCCATTAAGAACTTCTTGTACCAACCAATATCAACATATCAGATGTTTGGCCTGGTTAATTGATGAATAACTAGAGCCCGTATCCGACTTCAGTTTAAAACAAATTTTATTAAGGGTAGTTTGCAATATATTTATGTATAGATAGTTAATTGCAACAGTTAATTATTGTTTTATCAAATTTATTGAATTATTTTTTTATTTATCACGTGTTCAAGATTATAGAAATATCCGAAAAATGGCGTTTGAACACGAAACAGCCAGCTCGATGCGCGTTAATAGCGCATTCGCCGTTTGTGACATTATTTTCTGCAGCAGTAACGAAAAACCGCTCTTGGATAAAATAAATGAAAATTAGCGTTTGTAATTCCTGTTGATTTTTTAAAATGTGTTTTATGTTACTCTGTGTAGTAATAGGTAGGTAAAAGGTAATAGTTTAAGACAACAGAGATTATTTTATTCATGAAATATATAAATTGTAGAAATACAACTTGACTACAAGGCTGTCTACAAAAATCTGACCGATGTAAAGGCGTTTAATGTTTTATTGTTTCAATACACAAATATTATAAACTACATACTAAACAAAGTGGAGAATTGACTGTTAAAGATGCAAATAAATATAAATAGCCAAAAAATATAGTATAAATGTATTTTTATGACGTGTGACACCTATCTTATGGTACCAATTGAAATTATGTATGTAATGTTTCTATTATAATTTTAAAGAAGACCGGACATTACATTGTTGTCACTGTTATTTGAATTTACACCACCTGGTTTACTGACGAACAGACTGACGGACTATTTTTCTATTTGACGTTTCGAATATATTACATTATGGTATGTAGGAAGAAATGTTTTTTACTTTGACAATAGTTGCGAGATGTGTGTATTAATAACTGGGTGTTGGTTATTCAGAAAACAGTACTAGGTTTCTGTGGGACAGTTTTCGGATTGTCAAAATCTAAATTAGTGCATAGTGACGAAGCCGGAGTACTGGGCTCCTATTTCTGTCCTATCTGTCTACCATGTCGGATTGTCATATCGTCTACTGAAACTAGTTTAGCCTAGGCCAAACCAGTTTATTCTGAATCAGATTTGGTAAGGTGTGCTTTAACTGTAAAAAATTGTTTTTGTCATATAAAAATTATTAGTCATATTACTCTCATACTGCTCTAAAATATAACAAAACATTTAAAACGGTAGGATTTTAATAGACAACTCGAGTCAGTCCCAAATAATGTTACAAAAACCCATCTAGAATCCTGCATAGTCATAAATAATAAAATAATCTCTTTGGGCTACTATATCATATGATTATCTATTGTACAATAGCGCCGACGTATCTTGGCGAGTCTGAAGTTAGCCGAGTAGCTGCGCAGTACACAATTTTGTTCCTAAAATATCCATTGCGCAGACAAACAGCTAACTTCAGACTCGCCAAGATACGTCGGCCGTACTGTAATCGTGCTGCATTTCAGTTAATAACTTCATCGTGACAATAAAATCATATTTTTCTACATTTGTAACAAAACATATGATTAGTTCAAAAGTTTTTAGCATTTGTCAGCTTTGTATACATTTCTTCTTAATTATTCTAAGTTTATACCTACTTACTATATCTACATTCAGTTCGGTTACCAACCCCTATCTATATCACGAGGCATCTGGTGGTACCACTGACTCGGCGTTCAACAGCATTTTGGCCAGGAACGTCATGAAGTTGGGGGTAGCCATCAATCCCTGAAATAGGAAACAAAAGTTTAGTTATGTTTTAATTCCCTTTGGTTTGCTTAACATAGGTACATGTGTGTCTATATTTACAAAAAAATACTAACAGGAAGTTTTGAAATGGTATACCGTATAATAGTAAAACGCCACTGAACCCCAGCAGTTAAGATATAAATATAACATTGACATGCTAGACATGTTTTAATAATATGATACTTACGTTCTCTTTTTCTGGCATGATATTTAGACCATTACTCCCTGGCATTTTCTAAAATAAAAGAAAACATTAATTAGCGCATACAAATTATGCACAGTGCAACTGGTTAGATTGGTTATTACAATAATAATCGAATAAATAGATTTAATTTGTTCGACAGGCCACTGTGTGTGTATTTCAGCTTCTCGGACGTCTTCTATGGTATGTGATAGGAAACGAACAAACAACAATAATAATATTGTACACCTTAGAGAATTTTGTGACATGAGTATATTGAGAGAGGTACAAAAATAGTATAGTACAGCTCAGGAAGAATCTTATGCGGTGACATTTGGAACTACGAAATGTTTGCTGTGGCAACACTATTAAAACTTCCGCTACCGGTAATTTCTGTGTCAAAAAAATAATTCCGTCGTGTTATTTCACTGCTTGTTACAAAATTTATCAACGATTAATGTTTACTTGTATATTCATATTGATTAAAACTATTCGTTCGTAGAGCAGTGATATTATATTAAGTCTACTCGAGATATGTAGTCGAATCTGAAGTGGCAACAATTTGGCCTCCGATTGACATTGCTTATCAGAAATATGCTAATTAAGTTATTATATTTATATACTAATTCCTTATTTCATCAGTAACATGAGTTTATTGAGTCTATACATAGTCTAGCCATAAATACTGTTACAATTAAAAATAAACAAAATATTACATTTGAATTTGGAATCTGTCATTTTTATATAATTTTTCACTGTGTTTTCTTATTTTGGCGCCGATAAATTGTTCAATATTTTGCGATATTAAAATGGAGTGGGGTGATAAAGAGAACCGAATCGCTGTGATTGCATTACACAAAGTAGGTATGGAGCCAAATGCAATTTTTAAAACTCTCCACACGCTTGGCATTAGTCAAATGTTTGTGTACCGTGCTATTAATAGGTACAATGAGACCTCCTCTGTTTGTGACATAAAAAGATCGGGCCGTCCACGTAGTGTTCGTACGAAAAAGGTGGTCAAAGCAGTAAGGGAAAGAATTCGAAGAAATCCTGTCTGAAAGCAAAAGATTTTATCTCGGAAGATGAAGATAGCACCTAGAACCATGTCGCGTATTTTAAAAGACGACTTAGGACTTGCAGCCTATAAGAGACGCACTGGACATTTTTTAAATGATAATTTAAAAAAGAATAGGGTGATAAAATCTAAGCAACTACTGAAGCGGTACGCAAAGGGAGGTTTGATTTCGGATGAGAAAATTTTTACAATTGAGCAACATTTTAACAAACAAAATGACCGTCTTTATGCTCAAAGCTCTAATCTTTTTTTAAATATATAAATTAAATGGAAGCTCTAGGTTTGAGAAGTCTGTCCACATATATTTAAATTAATCTGGTTAGATTTATAAAATAATAAAAATAATTTCTGGACGTGACCTTTCACAGAAATCGGTTCAGTAGTTTAGGCGTGAAAAAAAGACAGACAGACAGAGTTACTTTCGCATTTATAATAAAAGTTTGGATTTTAAATGTCAACAGTAAAAAGAATACAAGACTAGTATAGTAAACCCACAGTATTTGGGATATGACTGTAGAGCTGCCTAAATTTTGCCACATTTTTTAACCAAGCTGTACCATATATATACTACTTTTGTACCCAAAAAACCTTCGATAACTATTCCCCAAAAATCCGAATTTGTCCTATTTGTAGTATTTTTCCAGTTCAGAATACATAACAATTTAGAAAACAATAATAAGGCAGCATTCGATAAAATTTATCAAATCTTACACTTTTATTTAATAAATAAAAAAAAATTAAATTATTTCTCAAATAACTGTAATATGTGCATGAAAAATATTTTTGTAAATACTTTTACTATTGAATAGTTTATTCATCAGTTATAAGCCAAGGCTATTAATTAATACAGTTGTTTTCAATTCTCCACTTTGTTTTTTTACTTCATCAAGTAATAATGTTGCACTCCACAACTTGTAAATAGACATAAATTAATAACTAACACAACGTACTACGGCGTAGCAGTACGTAGCTCATCTCGTAGCTAATTTGGGTCGAATATCGAAACTTATGTTATTTTGAACCAAATTATATTTTGTATGCCAGTGTGAACCAATTAGACAAGAGTTTTCAACTTAAGTAATCAAAGTTCATCAGTCGAATAAGAAATCCAAGTTACTAACATGTACTTAGGGACTCGCAACGAATCTTTCTATAAATTTCAAAAACGACTTAAGTATTTGGTGTTTGAGAAATTGAATTTATTTGGTTAATAGCAAGAGGAAGGGAGGCAGGGGGACATCTAATACATAGAGCCCTATTCTCTACTCTCAGTTCCGGTAGTGAGCAATGTCGTCATCCGTATTAAGATTGATAAAAGATCATTAAAATTGCGAAACTAGAGTAAAAGCTTACTTTTATCGTATGACCGCCTGTATATCTTCAACGCGTCTGTTTTTGTATGGTTCACGAGACAGAGATGTACGAAGTATATAATTATCATTAATAATAACAAACTGAAAGTAACAATTAGATGAATAAATAAACATTTTTCTCCTCTAGTAAATTTAGTTTTACTATTTTCAGGTGGCATTTTACTGGAAAGTCAAAATCGTGGGCCCCTAGATATTAATCGAGACATGCTTAGCCAACTTTCAATATTTTTTTTAATATAATTTATTTAATGTTGGTACTACATTATAGGCTTATTTATAAAAGAGAGCCGACGAACGACTTGAATTCTCTTATTTTGATTAATGTGGGAAGTTCAACAATACATCTAGTATTGGATAAAACTTTTTTATTATTCACATTGCTCGCAAAGGATTTCCATAACGGCAGTCACATAGTACCTAGGTATCTTGTAATTTGAGAGTCTAAAAGCTTCAAAATAGAAAAAAGCTATCTAAACATACATACGTACCTAATAACTTGTATGCTGAATAATATATTAAATATATTTAAATTTATTAGCATTTGCAGTAAAAGATTTTTTTCTTTGTCATCAGGGTTTATCATACCACATTCGATAAAGTTAATTAAAAAAACTATAAATATATTTATATAAAATAACTATTTATATAAACTATATACATATACCTTAAAATGAGGTGAATAGATGTTTGTGAATTTCCCTAGTATCTATTTACCCCTCTATTGTGTCTATTCACCCCTCGAATTATATTGACCCAGTTTTACAGTACTGAATAAGTATAAGGACAAAGTTTCTTCGTTTATTAATTTCCTTTACGTTATCACAAACTTTTTGTACTCACTCATAAAAGTTTAAGAAAAACACTTAATTCTTATAGGTAATCATTTAATCACAAACTGACAAATACATTTTCGGTTACATATGTAGATTTAGCATCAACACCTAAGTACTACTAATGGGAACCATAGTAGTTGGCAGATATAAATCGCAAAAATGTAAGGAACTTATTTTTAACTAGTTACTTTTAATGACGGAAATAAATAAACTCAAAATAAAAGAACAATACAAGTTTAGTGAAATACTGCCTTAATTAGTAACTGTATATTCAAGTTCAGAGGGCCTACCATGACGTGTTGAAGCGTAAATCTTCCAGACGAGAAAGAGGGATGGAGCTATACACCTTTTACAGCTTAGCTTCCTCCCTCTTTCTCGGCCGGAAGACTGAGAAGACACGCGTCATGGTAGGCCTACAGTTTTAATTACAGCATTATTTTTTGTCAATATTTATGTTAATTTGCAATGCACAGTCAATAATCAATATTAATTAAATTTTTAATGTATAAAATATTTTACAATGCTTAGTAATATTCTAGAGTAAATACAAATACTTATATTAAGTCAGCCCCATCTTATAGTATTTGAATTTTTCCAATAATAAAATGAGTCTATTTTTTATGTAGATGAACCAGCACGGGATTGGTATAAATAATGTTTAAGAATCTATATCATTTAGTTCCACGTAATAAGAGTTGAAATCGAAACCCGTTTCTTAGGATAATTCGACTTATCGCATCTTTAGGACTGGATTTTCAAAATCTAGGACTTATTTAGATATATCTAAATGAGTCTTAGATTCTAAGAATAATTTTAAAAAGTGTTTTGTGTCCGTTACAGACAATAAAAAAGAATGCAAGAATGGCTTCAGCTTTTTTTTAAGATTTGAGCTTTAGCATTACGGATAATTATTGAAGAATGATATCGTAAAATTTTAGATTGTCCTGATGATCCTTAAGACATGTATAAATTTTGTTACGTGTGTTATATTTACTTCAGCCTTTGAGGAGCACTACACTTTGAATTGTATCTTTACAGAGAAGTATGGCTTTTTCAAATTATATTTTTTAATGAATTCCTGCAATGTAGAGATCAAGAGGCTTGTAGGCTATGCACGTAGGTGTCGCGTATGTAGAACGTAATAGTTAACAATAATAATTAACAATAACGACTTACTCATCAGAACTAAGACAAGCTCTACCAGTTTCAGGTCACAACGAGACTTACTTGCTGTGACCTGCCTGCCTGTAGCCTACAAACCCCTTGATCTCTACATTACATTTCATGAACAGCTTGCACGTCGCGACGATGATGGAGCTGACTGGTGACTCGAACTTATGCATGTACGCCCACCGCGTCCTCTGCTGGCAAACGCGCGCGTTTGTTCCAACTGTGACGGGTGCGGCGGTTAGGAGCGACGTTAAAGGCTCGGCTCGTTAAGCGACGTTGGTGTTCACAAAATCAGTGGTACATGCCACGGTTACCGAGTCCACACTTCAAGTTGAAAACGCTCGAGAACGACATAAGATTTCAGGCCTGGTTTGTAAGTGGGTGACATTGTCTAGACACGGTCTCTATTAAAGCACGGACGGCTTATCTCGATGACATCCTGTACTTTCTGCGACACGAAGTATTCCTCCCTCGCTAGTACGGAGACCTAATCGAAACGTATGGAAGGAACCGCGTCCGTACAACAAACGTGCTTGGCCACCGACTATGCATGGTTCATTATCATCCGTTTCCTTCACGCTATGTATATGTTCCTCTAACCTGGTTGCGATATTGCGGTGAGTTTCTCCGATGTACTGCGGGTACAGCGAATGGATCTGTGCATTTAAGACACAGGTTAAATCAGGGAAACTCGCCGTAATATTGCAACCAGGGTAAAGGAAGGTGTACCTACGTAACGTGGCGAAGATAACAAGACATCGGCAATGGTTGAGCACGTTTTGGTTAGGACGCGGTCCAATTCACGCATTTCGAAAGTTTCCATACAAGCAAGGCAGAAATACATCATCCCGCGGAACGGCGGAAGGCCATCAAGATAAAACGCCGTCTGTGTTTTAACAGAAACGGTGTATAGGCAGAGTACCACCCGGTTAGAGCCGGGCTTGAAATGTACGTCGATCTACAGTGCTATCAACTTGGACTGAGACAAGGGAAGCGTGGCATGTAATTTTGAGACACCAAAACCGACGCTGCTAAACGCGCAGGGCGTCTATTGTCGCTTACACAGCCGCTCCTGTCGCAGTTGGAAGCAAGCGCTCGATTGTCGGTAAATAGCGCGATGGGCGCATAAGAGAGTAATCAGTCGGCTGCACACGCGCACGCTGCTCACGAACAGAATTGCCGTTGTGACTTCAAACTATACGAGTTTCTCTCAGTTAATACAAGAACAACTTATTTTGTTGACATATTACAAAAAACCTAGAAGTGATATCTTATATTATTTATATCACGAGGCATCTGCTGTTACCAGTGTTGACTCAGCATTTTCGCCAGGAACGTCATGAAGTTGGGTAGCCAGCAAACCCTGAAATTCGAAATAGGAACATCAAGTTGGTGTTATACATTGAAATTTGTTCTTGTTTTTAAGATTATATTTTGTAATCTACCTTTTTACAATAAAAGTAAATAATTAAAATTAATAATTTATGCCAATTAGGTTAAATTAATGTTTAATGTTTAACTTAATTGGTGTTTAATTTAAAATTAATGTTTAATAAAACATTAATGTTTAAAATTAATGTTTAATAAAACATTAATTAATTGTTTTTTTCATTAGGTTTTAATTCCGTTAAATCGTTTTCGTTTTGTAAAACTACATGTGTATGAACATATTGATGTGACATTTTTAGGGTGGAAAATCCGTAAATTCCTTCTGTCGAGATACAGAGAGATGATAGGGCGAGAAGGAGCATCAAATTTTACTCAGTACAAAATAACACCATGCCGTCATCGAACCCGCGACACGTTGCTCAGCAGCCAGTTGCCCAGCCACTGCGCCAACCGTGCAGTCAAAAAGTTTATCTACGCTACGTTACGCTGCTGCCCAGAGACAGCGGTAGTTGATTTTTCTTGGCATATATAGGTAGAAGAACCTATTACATTTCTGGACACATCTATTGACTTACCTTAGAGTTTAGGTTTCGATGGTCCTTACTGAAATATGATTGCTAGATTGAAAAAAACTAATCATGCTGTTTTAAAAATGATACGATTTACCATCTTTTTCGATTGTATTGTTTTAAATTTGAATTCAGAATACCATACGACATGGAGCTACGCCTAACAAGTCGGATATGCGCCTCGTTAAAGGCAATTGATTTTTGAATAAAAATCATGTTTTATCAAATAAAGGTTTAATTTAATAACGCGTGTAGCCTTCGCATCTACCACAACTCTCAGTCGGTTAGGCATAGAGTTTATCAACCGCTCTATGAAATTTTGAGGGATCATCTACCATTCCTCTTCTATAGCAGTTTGCAACACCTGCATCGTCAGGGCAACTGACTGACGAGCCCTAACTCGTCTTTTTAGCTCGTCCCACATGTGCTCAATGGGGTTCATGTCTCGGCTTCTGGCTGGCCAGTCTATAACTGTGATGATCATCCCGAAGATATTCCCTGACGATTTCGGCCGCAGTCAGTCCATGAGCCACCGCCATTAGCAACCCTCTCTTCAAAGCAGCAATGTGCAAAACGCTCTCCCTTACGTCGGCAGGCCTTCTTCCTTCCATCATTTCCATGTAATACAATTTTAGACTCATCAGAAAAGAGTACACAGCTCCTATCTTGCTGTGTCCAATTTAAATAACAACGTGCGAAATGAAGGCGCACTGTTCGATGGGCTCGCGTTATTTTGGGCCCTCTAGCTGGCTTGTGTGGTACCATATCGCGTTCTTTTAACCTTCTCCGACAGTTCGAGCGATCACAGATACTCCGTGGAAGTCGCGAAGTTGGTTTTGTATCTCACTGGAGGTAGGTAAGGTGACGATTTCTCAAGCTGGTCGTCACGATGAATCGACCCTGCCTTTCAGTTATGACCCGAAATCGTGGCCTTTTTTGCGTCGAATAAAGCCGCCAGTCTCTATGTACCTCCGATAAATATTTCGGACCGCAGATCGACTTAAATTAAGTTGAGCACTCACTTTTATTTGGCTGTGTCCGGCCTGAATAAGTGCCACAGCTTGGGCGGAGGCTTCAAGTAAAGTTTCCTCAGATTATTGATAGAACCTCACCTTAATGTTGAGGATAAGTAATATTCGTTGCTAAACCAAAGATACAAATTTTTACACACTTTTTCAAGAATTAAATCCAAATAAACCAATAAAACCAAGTTTTCTTAATATTCGAATGTTTGATATCAACAAACAGGCTCCAAATTGTCTTTTGTTTATTTAAATACTGTGTTCAAAATTCAAAAAAGACTAATTGAATAAAACACTATTGAATGAAATTGTTAATGTGCCAGGTTCAAAACTGCATAAAAACTTTTTGCTCGACCTAATATAAAAAATTAAGCTAGGACCAAACGAAACTGAAAATACTAGGTGGGCCAATAGATGTGTCCAGAAGTCAAAGATATTCTCTTTGCCAGAAATGTATAATGCTTTTATTAAAATTGTTTACTAACCGGTTTGAAAAGTGCCGCAACAACTGAAGAGATTATTGCCTTCTTCGTGCACAAGATTATTTTATTTAGTTCTTCAACGTTTTGCCTGTGGCTTTCAACGTTTTTCTTGGGTAACTCCTCCCGGAGATAGAGCCTCCCTGATAAAACAGAAGAGCGTCAGTAAATTAATATCTAATAAAGCCTACATGAACATCTTAAATATTAATATAAAATAGCTTTTGATATTAATTTCAAGATATACATGTTCATGCCAGATTCAAAACCACCAAACCAAAATATTATCTAGCCATTTGTTCAAAACCAGGGTGAAGTCAATCTCATAATAATCATAAATTGATAAGTTTCGCGCATTCAATGACATTTTACGTTCTGGCACAAAAGGAAGCATAAGAGCAGATTGAGTACAGCTACGCATGCTTTGTAATTATATAGCAATGGTAAGACATTAAGATACTTAGTCATACTTGACTTCGTGTTCTGAACAGCTGCAGCAGCTAAGTGATACAAATTTATACCTGATTTCTGTACTTTCGCACATTTTGCACTTCTTTGCGCGAGACTGACCAGTGCTGAGCAGTGGAACCTCCGTAGAGCTGCTGACTGGAGACAAAATCAACAAATAATTACAATTGAAACAAAAGTTTAAATACGATTTAATTCCTCATGGTTTGCTTCATACATGTCTATATCCATATTTACAAAAATATACTAACAGAAAGTTTTGAAATGATATACCGTATAATAGTAAATCGCCACTGAACCCCAGAAGTTAAGGCGTATAGTACCCTCAATAACCTTGAGCATACTAGAGCACGACTGGTGAGGGCTGCGTTCGCCCGATTTTTATATATGGAAATCCCATTATTATAACATGTTCTTTGCAAAATATTGACCGATTTACATAAGTGCTGCCCACTTTGTAGTAAAATTTAACACCGATTGATCTATTAAAAAAAAACCAAGCCATTTAGAAGGAATAGGCATTCATGAACAAAATAGCGTGTTGGTAAATATTTTTTCACAGCTTAACTTTTCGTCATAAGAAAATCAAATTTACTAGATTATTAAATTGGTTATTAATATTATTTTCTATTTACCTAAATGAAAACATGCATTAATTTCTACAATTTATTTTCCTTTTTAAAGTCGGAATATTTTTGTTAAAAATTATTTATTTCACCATTTTAAGTAATAGGCAGAGCAAGCAAGTATAATGGTTTTCGAATGAAAAGACGACGGCTACTTGATACCGAAAATCACGGTAATAGAAGTCCTGAATTAGTCAGTATTCAGTGCTGAAAATCGTGAGGAATTCCCTCGACTGTCAATGGTCTCCATCATCATGTACACTGCAGACCTTCAATATACTTACATAATCCATATAGGTGCAAAGTTCTCATCAATATAAATTAATTAATCCAGGCACAACGTCATTACTCCAAATAGTCAAAAAGATCCCACGACAGTCTTCCTGCTCCATCATCAGATTTACTCCATAACTTCATTGTAACCCATACTGGTGTGTGAGTTTTCATCGATATAAATGAATTAAGTCCAAACACGAAGTAGTTACTGTGAACCGTTTAGGAGTTCCCTGAGCTATCCATCGTTCTCATTATCAGACCCCTAATGACAGTGACGACCAATCTTGGTGCAAAATGCTCACCAATACGAATCATTCAAGCCCAAACACAAGGAAACTACTCCAAATAGTGCAGGAGATCCCTCGACGGTCTTAAGGCTCCATTATCAGGTCGAGTTCGACCATCGGCAAGTTGTAGCGTTGTAAAAAGCCTACTAAAACAACATGCAAAATCACAACTCGCCCCTACAATTTTCGAAACTACCCCTCGGTTTCCCTAAGATTCCATCATCAGATCCTGACCTCATGAAAATGGGACCCTCTCGGGAGTATAACCTTTCAAACAAAACAAGAATTTTGGTAATCGGTTCATAAATGGCGGAGTAATCGGTGAACATACAAAAAAAACCAATCGCCCGAACATAGTACCTCCTCCTTTTTTAGAAGTCGGTAAAAAGTATAAAACAAGATTTTCAGAATACTGAAAAACGTTGTCAAAGTGCTACGGTAGATAGGTATATGCACTTTATATTCGCGGTATTTATTACAGACTAGCGACCCGCCCCAGGTTCGCACGGGTCCAACTATCTCGCTATCAAAGGGCCACTTTTTCCTTATCTTCCCCTCTAGTTTTCTCATATTTTCTTTCATAAGAACCTTCTCCTGACAATAACAAACACAACAAAAAAAGAATTAGCAAAATTGGTCCAGGCGTTTTTGAGTTATGCGCTTACCAACACATTTTGCAATCCATTTTTATATATAAGAAGACAAGAATGCATAGCAATTTAGAAAAAAAAATAAGGCAGCATTCGACAAAATTAATCAAATCTTACTTTTGTTACCATATCGTAGAACACCCAGATAAAACGCTTTTGTCAAATTTGAATACTAACCGGCTTAAAGAGTGCGGCAACAACTGATGATATTCTTGCATTCTTCGTGCACAAAAGCCTATTTTTTTTTTTATTTACTTCTTCAACTTTTTGCTTGTGACTTTCAACCTTTCTCTTCAAGAACTCCTCCCTGAGAAACACAAGAGCGTCAGAACGATAGTCTCTTATCAAGCCTACATGAACATGTTACAAATTAATATAACACGATACACGGTATAATTAAGGAAAGGTAGCAGAAAACACAAGGTAGCTACTGTTATCCGTTGAAGAGTTTTCTTAGCTATTGTGATGAATTATTCTTCATCACCAGACCCCTCATAACATTAACTACATCTAGGTGTCAACTTCTCGGTGATGCAAGTTAATCAAGCTAAAACTCCGCTCTAAGCCCGCAAGCCCTTTCGTCTATATTTCGGCTCGATCATCACGTCAAATTCAGACCTTCGTAAAATTGTAGTGCTTTAAAATATCTAAGTACTTAGTTACTAAACGAGTAAAAGGACTAGGCATGGTACATTATTGTGTACTTGCCCGCACTGCTACCCCGGCTGAACATTAACCATGTTGAACCAATTCTTCTGCAGTGTAGTCACAGTACAACTACATTGTGGGGTATTGGTATCTGTGAAGCACCCGCGAGGTCTACGAGCGAGGTACTCTTGCGCACTGACCGCAGACCCGAAAAATTAACTTATGCATAAACATACATAAATCATGTACTAAAATTGTGATAACAATTCTAACTAACCTATGTAACCGGTTTGTAAATTGCCGCAACAACTGAAGATATTCTTGCATTCTTCATGATTTTTTATTTAGTTCTTCAACCTTTTGCTTGTGACTTTCAACCTTTCTCTTCAACAACTCCTCCCTGAGAAATACAAGAGCGTCACAACGATAATATCTTATCAAACCTGCATGAACATGTTAAAATTTGTTATAAAATAGCTTGTGCTAGTAATTACAAGATAAACATAATAAAACAAATTGCTGATATACCTAGTCTAGCCATAAATACTGTCACAATTAAAAATAAACAAAATATTACATTTAAATTTGGAATCTGTCATTTTTATATAATTTCTCATTGTGTTTTCTTATTTTGGCGCCAATAAATTGTTCAATATTTTGCGATATTAAAATGGAGTGGGGTGATAACGAGAACCGAATCGCTGTGATTGCATTACACAAAGTGGGTATGGCGACAAATGCAATTTTTAAAACTCTCCACACGCTTGGCATTAGTCAAATGTTTGTGTACCGGGCTATTAATAGGTACAATGAGACCTCCTCTGTTTGTGACAGAATAAGATCTGGCCGTCCACGTAGTGTTCGTACGAAAAAGGTGGTCAAAGCAGTAAGAGAAAGAATTCGAAGAAATCCAGTCCGAAAGCAAAAGATTTTATCTCGGGAGATGAAGATAGCACCTAGAACCATGTCGCGTATTTTAGTCTATGTACACAGGCTATAAATAATATTGTGACAATGCATTTCGCACGTTTTGAATCATTTGTTCTTATACTTTATTCAAATAATTCTAAAGAATGACAATCAATACTTATGCTAATGTAAATAAAAGTCAATATAATATAGAATCACTTCAAAGCAGTTGAGTAGGTAATAAATTATACAAAAGACCAATATAGTAGACACAGTATAAAGAGAAGGAAAGTAGGTTATCTTCATAAAAACGCACCGCGCGGCTTGTATGTGTGCGCCATAGTATCTACGCGTCAACGCACACACACTGTAACAAAATCTCGACTCGTTTCTCAGTGCGCCAGTCGGGGCTAACACTGCACGAGGTTCGCGCGTTACTGTTTTTCGGCACCGCTAAATCAAAACAAAATGTCTGATAATCACAGGAGAACGTATTGCTGTGTGTTTGGGTGTCTTAACAATATGTGTAAAAATACTACATTATGCCTAAAAAATAATACAATGAGAAAATAATATTAACACTAGCTCTTAGTCTATGTTACCGCCTGTGCCATCTAGCGACATAAAGAGTCACACCTAACATGCTTTGTAATTATATAGCAATGGTAAGACATTAAGATACTTAGTACTTGACTTCGTGTTCTGAACAGCTTCAGCAGCAGTGATACAAATTTTATTCGATTGTTTGATAACAACAAACAAGCTCCAAATTATCTTTTGCTTCTTTAAATTCTGTGTTCTAAATTCAAATAAAAGACTATTGTATCAAATTGTGAATGTGCCAGGTTCAAAACTGCATAAAAACTTTTTGCTCTATGTAATATAAAAATTTAAGCTAGGACCAAACGAAATTAAAAATACTAGGTGTGCCAATAGATGTGTCCAGAAGTCAAAGATATTCTCCTTGCCAGAAGTGTATAATGCTTTTATTAAAATTGTATACTAACCGGTTTGAAAAGTGCCGCAACAACTGAAGAGATTGTTGCATACTTCGTGCACAATATTATTTTATTTAGTTCTTCAACGTTTTGCCTGTGGCTTTCAACGTTTTTCTTGGGTAACTCCTCACGGAGATAGAGCCTCCCTGGTGGAAGACAAGAGCGTCAGAAAATTAATATCTAATAAAGCCTACATGAACATCTTAAATATTAATATAAAATAGCTTTTGATATTAATTTCAAGATATACATGTTCATGCCAGATTCAAAACCACCAAACCAAAATATTATCTAGCCATTTGTTCAAAACCAGGGTGAAGTCAATCTCATAATAAACAAATTGATAAGTTTCGCGCATTCAATGAAATTTAACGTTCTGGCACAAAAGGAAGCATAAGAGCAGATTGAGTACAGCTACGCATGTATTGTAATTATATAGCAATGGTAAGACATTCATGTTCTGAACAGCTGCAGCAGCTAATGATATATTATACCTGAGTATATTATACCTGATTTCTGTACTTTCACACATTTCGCACTTCTTTGCGCGAGACTGACCAGTGCTGAGCAGTGGAACCTTCGTAGAGCTGCTGACTGGAGACAAAATAAACAAATAGTTACAACTGAAACAAAAGTTTAGATACGATTTAATTCCTCATGGTTTGCTTCATACATGTCTATATCCATATTTACAAAAAAAATACTAACAGAAAGTTTTGAAATGATATACCGTATAATAGTAAATCGCCACTGAACCCCAGAAGTTAAGGCGTATAGTACCCTCAATAACCTTGAGCATACTAGAGCACGACTGGTGAGGGCTGCGTCCGCCCGATTTTTATATATGGAAATCCCAATAATATAACATGTTCTTTGCAAAATATTGACTGATTTACATAAGTGCTGCCCACTTTGTAGTAAAATTTAACACCGATTGATCTATTCAAAAAAACCATGCCATTTAGAAGGAATAGGCATTCATGAACAAAATAGCGTGTTGGTAAATATTTTTTTACTGCTTAACTTTTCGTCATAAGCAAATCAAATTTACTAGATTATAAAATGGGTTATTAATATTATTTTCTATTTAACTAAATGAATACATGCATTAATTTCTACAATTTATTTTCCTTTTTGAAGTCGGAATATTTTTGTTAAAAATTATTTATTTCACCATTTTAAGTAATAGGCAGAGCAAGCAAGTATAATGGTTTTCGAATGAAAAGACGACGGCTACTTGATACCGAAAATCACGGTAATAGAAGTTCTGAATTGGTCAGTATCCAGTGCTGTAAATCGTGAGGAATTCCCTCGCCTGTCAATGGTCTCCATCATCATGTACACTGCAGACCTTCAATATACTTACATAATCCATATAGGTGCAAAGTTCTCATCAATATAAATGAATTAAGTCCAAGCACAACGTTATTACTCCAAATAGTCAAAAAGATCCCACGACAGTCTTCCTGCTCCATCATCAGATTTACTCCATAACTTCATTGTAACCCATATTGGTGTGTGAGTTTTCATCGATATAAATGAATTAAGTCCAAACACGAAGTAGTTACTGTGAACCGTTCAGAAGTTCCCTGAACTGTCCTTCGTTCTCATTATCAGACCCTTAATGACAGTGACGACCAATCTTGGTGCAAAATGCTCACCAATACGAATCATTCAGGCCCAAATACAAGGAAACTACTCCAAATAGTGCGGGAGATCCCTCGACGGTCTTAAGGCTTCATCATCAGGTCGAGTTCGACCATCGGCAAGTTTTAACGTTGTAAAAAGCCTACTAAAACAACGTGCAAAATCACAACTCGCCCCTACAATTTTCGAAACTACCCCTCGGTTTCCCTAAAATTCCATCATCAGATCCTGACCTCATGAAAATGGGACCCTCTCGGGTGTATAACCTTTCAAACAAAACAAGAATTTTGAAAATCAGTTCATAAATGGCGGAGTAATCGGCGAACATACAAAAAAAAAAACAATCAGCCGAACATAGTACCTCCTCCATTTTTTGAAGTCGGTAAAAGTATAAAACAAGATTTTCAAAGCAATTTAGAAAAAAATTAAGGCAGCATTCGACACAATTAATCAAATCTTACTTTTGTTACCATATCGTAGAAAACCCATATAAAACGCTTTTGTAAAATTTGAATACTAACCGGCTTGAAGAGTGCGGCAACAACTGATGATATTCTTGCATTCTTCGTACACAAAAGCCTATTTTTTTTTTATTTAGTTCTTCAACCTTTTGCTTGTGACTTTCAACCTTTCTCTTCAACAACTCCTCCCTGAGAAACACAAGAGCGTCAGAACTATAATCTCTTATCAAGGCTACATGAACATGTTACAAATTAATATAACACGATACACGGTATAATTAAGGAAAGGTAGCAGAAAACACAAGGTGCAACACAAGGTAGCTACTGTTATCCGTTGAAGAGTTTTCTTAGCTATTGTGATGAAGTAATCTTCATCACCAGACCCCTCATAACATTAACTAATCATCTAGGTGTTAACTTCTCGGTGATGCAAGTTAATCAAGCTAAAACTCCGATGTAAGCCCCGCAAGCCCTTTCGTCTATATTTCGGCTCCATCATCACGTCAAATTCAGACTTTCGTAAAATTCGCAGACCCGAGAAATTAACTTATGCATAAACATACATGTTACACACTGTGTCTTATATTTTAATTACATTTTCTGTCTCAGGTCTACTGGAAGAAATTCCAGCAGGAATAAGTAGCACCTATGTACTCTTATTTTACTTATGTATTTTCGTCTGTGCTGTTTGTGTGTACATAAATTATTAAATACATATATCATGTACTAAAATTGTGATAACAATTCTAACTAACCTATCTAACAGGTTTGTAAATTGCCGCAACAACTGAAGGTATTCTTTCATTCTTCGTGATTTTTGATTTAGTTCTTCAACCTTTTGCTTGTGACTTTCAACCTTTCTCTTCAACAACTCTCTGAGAAACACAAGAGCGTCAGAACTATAGTTTCTTATTAAAATAGCTTGTGCTAGTAATTACAAGATAAACATAATAAAACAAATTGCTGATATATACAGGCTATAAATAATATTATGACAATACATTTCGCACGTTTTGAATCATTTGTTCTTATACTTTATTCACATAATTCTAAAAAATGACAATCAATAATTATCTACTATTCGTAGAAGGCTATACGCAATCTTATGCTAATATAAAGAAAAGTCAATATAATATAGAATCACTTCAAAGCAGTTGAGTAATAAATTAAACAAATCACTGTGTTCTAAATTCAAAAAAAAGACTATTGAATCAAATTGTGAATGTGCCAGGTTCAAATGTCGATAAAAACTTTTTGAGCTAATATAATTATAATTTTAGCAAGGATCAAACGATACTGAAAATACAAGGTGGGCCATTAGATGTGTCCAGAAGTGTATAATGCTTTTATTAAAATTGTATACTAACCATTTTGAAAAGTGCCGCAACAACTGAAGAGATTGTTGCATTCTTCGTGCACAATATTATTTTATTTAGTTCTTCAACGTTTTGCCTGTGGCTTTCAACGTTTTTCTTGGGTAACTCCTCACGGAGATAGAGCCTCCCTGGTGGAAGACAAGAGCATCAGAAAATTAATATCTAATAAAGCCGACATAAACATGTCGAATATGTATATAAAATAGGTTTTGATATCAATTAAAAGATATTCATGCCAAATTCAAATGATTCAATTGAAAATCACCCAACAAAAATATTATCTAGCCATTTGCTCAAAACCGTGGTAATTACGAGTATATAGCAATGGTAAGACATTCATGTTCTGAACAGCTGCAGCAGCTAATGATATATTATACCTGAGTATATTATACCTGATTTCTGTACTTTCACACATTTCGCACTTCTTTGCGCGAGACTGACCAGTGCTGAGCAGTGGAACCTCCGTAGAGCTGCTGACTGGAGACAAAATCAACAAATACTTAGAATCGCTAGGCTTGCCAATACACAGTCTTGTCATTTAATCATTATAGTCAGATATTATACCATTCAACATGGATTTGATTCTGCAAGCATGGTTCTCCTAATATTCTTTAATATTTAGGTACCTACCTAATAATTACTTATACTCCTAATTTCGCAGTTAGATACATTTTGTACGTTTATAATAAACAAAAAAGAATCATTTAAAACTACTTCCAAAACTTGTCAAATACCGTATTTTTATGCAAAAGTACCTCCTTAGGTATCAAAAATCACAATGTTCACAATGGTTGCTGTCGAAGTTTGGCATTCCCCATTTTTCTAAATAATGCACCTGGTGGTTGAGAACAACAACATTCGATGCATGCATATTGGCTTAAAAGCATCGCACAGCCGGCAATCTTTGTCCTCGTCTGACAACGATTGCCGGCTATGATTTTTGATTAGGTATTATGTATATAAGAAAATTAGGTTTTTTTATGTGCCTAAGGACTCCGCCCACTGGCCAAAATTTCAAAATATCTCTTCTCATCTACATATAACATTAAAAATAAAATTAATTAAGTAGAATAGATAAGTAAAACAGTAGTAGTAGTGGTAACGGCTTAATTGGCGGTGGTGATATTACATCAATTAGTTGACTGAAATAAGAGTTCTTACCTGCTTGTGGAGTTTTCTCATCTGGTTGTGGAGCGGTGCACTCTTTGTAATGTTCCTAATGCGTGTGTAAGCAAATAGCATGATCTAAAAAAACTTTTTAACAGTTTTTGGAAGTTCCGGCAAAATGTATATGTATACGCCAGCCAGGTAATGAAAATAAATTTAATAACGAGCGAATATATAGACTGCTCCTTTCTTACAAGTGCCTCGCAACATTGTAAATTTTAATTCATTAATTATACTGTTTCTGGTCTCTGATTATCCATTATCCACATCCCTATTTTTCTTTCTCTTGAATATTGGTAAGCATTGTAAAATTTGTCAGTTAAGTTGGTGACGACTTTTCTAACAATCGGTTCTTAATATTTTGAGTTTAAATATTTTTTCTTATGTTTTTAATTTGGTAAGACTTAATTCTAAAATTGAACGAGGCCTCGTCATATCGAGAAATCTTGTTGAAATTCTGTAATCAAAACAATTAATATATAAATAATATACCAACATACTACAAAATGTATTTTCAGAATACAGAAATTAAGTAAGTAGTATCTACGAAACAGTATGTTCACCTAGAAGTTAATGCTATCAATAATTAATGATAAACTAGAAAACATTAATCCTCTACATTAAAGTTAAACTAGAAAAAGAACAATACCTAAATAATAAATGGCAAGGAGCTTCACGGACACTTCTTTCAATCCCACGCTCTTCACTGCCATGGTATTGACTTTGGCGTCGATTTAGTAATCTTTATAAATAACTACCGGACATATGATATGAAAATGGGACGGTTGACATATGTCGGGCATGTCATAGTCCCGATGCATCCATCAGACATATGCTGTTAAGGTCAACAGCATATGTAACTGTGAAGTTACATATATTTGCGTTCTACCAACAAACTGATTGATTTTGCACCACAATTCCCAGAATTGTGGTGCAAAATCAATGATTGCATTATATAGCAAACCCCAGAGTCCAGACACGTGTTTGATGAATAGAAGTTACTTGTTTTCTTTATAATGGCAAGCAGACAAGGTACGTACCTCTATCAGAGGAGACCGTTACGAGTCGCGCGTAGAAAGAAACTGCGCTCCAATGGCTTCAACATTTGCCCGCGCATAATCTCTGAGCTTACATCGTCAAACACTACGGAACCGCTTGACAATTTCATTTTGTTACATGTAACTTCCTTTCCCTACACGAGAGTGGTAAACATCTATTAAAAAATACCATTTAATATTTACATAATTATAATAAATCTAAGTTTGTATAAATCTTACTTTTCCAGTTTTTATGAAGTATTCTACATCATCTCTCAATACTAGGTCCCCTTTGGTAATGAAATCAAAGTTTTCCTTTATGGAACCAACCAGTCTGTGATATTTGCCAGGTTGCGCGGGATTTTGAAGGCAGGAATGACACGCTCCGAATGTACCTCTGTAATGTTATAACTGTTATTCGACAGATCAACTAATATCAAATGCAAATTAGCCTTTAGATTCGAAAGTTACCGCTGATTTGTTGCTTTCTGCAAACTGATAGCGTCACCAGTAAGCAAAGCACTACCCTCAATGTCGTCTTTAGCAGGTAAAAACGATTCACGAACATTATCATGCGATTTTTTTCCAGTATTGTCACCCTTTTCCTTTATTTCTCCGCCAGCGCGGGTTCCTCTTAACACCTTGAATGAAACAAAAATACGAACATATATTTCATTGCCGCAATATAAACACATATTTATTATGTAGGGGTAGATAAAGGTACGTCATATACCACAGATGCAATCTTGGTCACCGTTGAAACTATTGGCTTTCCAGTGTGACGGTCATACTGCAACTCGAACTCAACAGGGTCTCCTATCTTCATATTTTCAGTATTACCGCTAAATTGGCTAAAGTTAAAGAACAGCCGAGCCTGTCTCTTACAGCACTGAATAAATCCGCAGGAGTGCAAAAGTTTTTCAATAATGCCGGTCTCTCGAATAGGTGGGTGATTCACGCAGTATTGTTGCGACGAATAATGTTTATCAAATCCAGAGGAACAAATCAAATCGTCGTTTGGACCAATTTTGTAACCCAGAGAGTAGTGATCGACACCACGGGTCTTTGATTGGCCACTGTCATCATCCATAGTTGAATCCATGTTGGGTACTCACCTAAAATCAAAAGAAATTTTGGTCGAAAACGTATTTTTTTATATATAACTAATAGCGGCCCGCCCCCGCTTATGATATTTTCTTTGATAAGAACCTTTTCCTGACAATAACAAACATAACAAAAAGAATTAGCACAATTGGTTAAGGCGTTGTTGAGTTATGCGCTTACCAACACATTTTGCGATCCATTTTTATATATAAGATACGAGTATGAAACTTATCAGATTGTGTGACGTGTGTAACAACATTAGACCTGTGTTAAGAAGATCATTAATAATATCTTCACAAATCCATTGTGAATAAATAACGTTACTTCTAAACGGCGAATAATCAGGGATAAGAAAATCATGTGATTTGACATCAAATCGATCGTAACTATAAAATACTTATTTAGTATTCTAGAGCTTTCAAGAAAGGAAGCAGGTTGAAAACGGGCAGGTATCTAAGTACTTTCAAAAACCTATTCAATTCCATCACACTTGAAGAACTACGCTAGAAGCGTTGTGGTTCTGGTCTTCAAAAGGTGTGATAACCAGGCGTCTAAGCTTTGTATAGAACTTGTTCTATACTTGTATAGAGCTTGACTTTGAGGGTCATCACGAAGGCTAGAGGTCTTCCAGCCTCCAGAACAAACCACATTATACAAAAGACAGAGGAGCAGTCATTGTGTCTAGCGTGTTCTTTTAATTCTTGTGGAATATGAGAATTCCTTCGATTCAATCGAATTTGGGCGGCCTACTCTGCCATGCCACGTCGACTATAAAGACATCGACGTGCTAAAGTATTTGAATAGACCATACGCATTCGTAGCCTGGGTGTCTGGTGAAATCGACAATCATGTTTTTATGACCAAATAGACACTCTTTTTAAAAAAATAACGCAATAATGCCTTTACCGCTTTGGCTTATTTTGGTCTTGAATTATTTGTGGAAGTCCAGAGAAGGTTTGTACGTAGGTTTGAAAACTTTAAAAAAACTAAATAAGTGCAAAATCAACATCCACACGAACGGAGCTGCGGGCGACCCTTGGTATTAAATTAAATTAAGTATCTCATGATAGTAACGTGTAACTGTATTCCTCAATGAAACCTTCAGATTATTAATGTTCACTGCTTTATTTGTTTTTATATTTGAAATAGACCTAGCCAAAGCTGATACCAATTATAAAGATACTAGTATTTATATGTATAGATATAGTAGATAGGTACTTAATAAGGGTGTAAGTAGGTATGGGCTGTTGGGGCATCTTACCACTACTATCTTATAAGCACTATTATCTTGGCTGGATTTTTTATGTAAGTATATCACACGCCATAAAGTTATATTTTACTGCACTATGTTTTATTTTAGTTTCACTTATTTCATAATTATGTGCAATACTTACCCTCCAATTGATTTGTCATTTACTTGAATTATTTTGACTGCCCTATTGAACTGGCTGCCGTGCAACACGTGGCGGGTTCGTGTTCCAGCACGAAACAACCACCGTTTCGGTGATCCACAATTTGTTGTTCAGGGTCAAGATGGAGCTGATTTATAAAATTGTGAAAATTGTACGTTGGTAAGGCACCCACGACAAAGAAAAGAAAGTTGTTGTGTTAAATAATTATTAAAAGACGTTGCCCACCCCTTTTTATTAAGGGATGAAGGTAGAAGGTAGATTAAAATAACTTTTTCGATAATCTACCTACACGTGTTTAACTTATTGTTCCAAATGCGTCGAATTAGTAAAAGTAGCGGTGGATCATAGCCACATTTTAATACATTTAGGTACGCAGCGAGTATCCGAAAGAACAGCGAATAAAACTGGTAAAAATTTGAAATGCCGCCGATTCCAACGCTGCCGCCATAAGACAAGACAATTCATTAATCACGATCCTTTGGTGCAATTATTATATCGTATTTGTACACATGAAACATAATAGTAAGGACTTAATGACGATGATCATTTAAAAGGAAACAAACTGGAATAAAAAACTCACCATGACTCGGCTGTGCACTGACGACGTCCCGCCGTAAGGAACGTCAGCCAAAGAAAGAGCTATTCGTAAAAGTTCAGGCGAAATATCAGCATTAACCATAGATTATACATACACAGAATTATTGGCGTATTTATCGTCTCAATATCAGGTACAAGTAACACTGTTACAGGTACTACACAGATATTTTGGATTTGCTGTTGTAGTTGTTGTTCTTGCGGGTAAATATCAACTCAGTCAGTCACAATAGCAGGTCTTGATAATAGGAAGAACAGGATTATGTTATGGAAATGGTGTAAAAATGGTTATTTTTACCCAGCAACAACGAAGAGAGTGGATTTCGAAAGTTCCTTTTTAATTAGAAAGCTTATACTTACTTTTAAGTTTTCCCCACTGTTACCAAGTCAGAATCTGATCATAAGTTTTCCCCACTGTTACCTAGTCAGAATCGGATCATGTTCTGGTTTCCAGGTAAATCGTTGAAAACTGCGGAGATTTGTGGAAGTGACTTGTTTTTTTAGCACCTAATATTATCCTATGTTTGTTGGTTAAGTAATTAAGTATTTTTAAAGTAAGGCACGATCAATAAGCGATATCTAATTTATGTCAACACTAGATTTTGCACGTGGATTCGCCTGCGTGCTATGTCGATAAAAAGTAGCCTATATGTTAATCCAGAGTATCATCTAGCTACGTACCGAATTTCAACCAACACGCAACAAACACCCAAAAAGCACGCAAAATGACAACCAACCACCACCAACCATCCATCCATTCTCCCAAAACTTTCATATCCTACTAATATTGTAGTAGTATTGTATCCTAATAATACCAGTTGCAAAGAGTAAAAAAAAGTCCAAGTAAAATAAAATGAAATAGTTAAAAATCCTATTACTAAGTCTCCGATGTTAACGTTACGGATGGTTTTATTATATTTTCTATACCTAATTAGATCTTATTTTAACTAATAACGGGAAGTCGCGGGCGGAAGCTAGTTTATAGGTAATACTTATTAACATAACATTCTGGGCTTGATTTAATCGTCAAATAATGAGAGCCTTATCCACCAATGTAGAAGGATAATTTTCCTCTGTTGTCGTTTACTGCTTTAACTGTAGTAGTGGCAATAAAATCTTCGCCTCTTTAAATTTCATACACAATCCAACTTATATTTCCACACCTAGGAACACAATTTGTCTAGCGAAACTCACGGCTGAGATAGTTTTTAAAGTTAACACAGTATACTGTCTAGGTTTTGAAATACCTAGATTTTGCCATCTCCAATATTCTATTATGTCACTTAATCCTAGTATGCTTGGCAATCGCCATTAGAGAATACGCGTATATATAAATAAACAGCCACTACGATCGACCTCCGGCCACGTTAAGCACGGGTCTGCAGCCTGCGGGCGCGTTCCTGCTTGCCGCCTATCCAGAACTAGACCTATACGTACGGTGCGAAGCGTGTCCCGCGCGCCTCAATGAGCCAACAGACCGCCACCGTATGAGGCCTAACAGAGCCGGTGTTCAGCCCGGATTGTGGGACGGGGATGAAATGTCCAGCCTAGTTCCTCTTGAGACCTGCGACTTTCCGTCCAACCTCAGTGATTTTCATCTCACAAAAAACAATATATCGACAATATCGACATCGGTACTCTCTAAATAGTCTCGAGGTGGTGTTGTCGGACGTGACGGTTTCAGGACCCTCATGTTATTCAGTTTCAGCTCGATGCCGTCTAGGTAAGATTTTATTGTTTGTTAAAAAAAAAATCTTGTCCTTATCGGTGTTTTGTTATTCTTGTTTGCAGAGCGCTTGTTTCAAATGTCTTTGTTGTTTGCGATGCCACGTGGAGAATACACACATGGCGGGCGATGTACTGGTTTTTGGTCATCCCGGTAAACATTTTGCACCTAGATGAGGTGTGATTTTAGTTGATGGCAGTAGTAATGAAATACGAAAGTCGTAATACTTGTATTTATTAGATTTTTCATTACCCTATGTAGAAATAAGTAGTTTTATCACTTGAGGGACGAGTTAAAATATCAGTATTCTTACAAACCAATAATTATCTAATCGTATAATATAACGGTATCTACCAGTTCCAGTGAAAAAATAATAAAAACCTTTTTTAAAAGAAAACTTTGCGCCACACTAGGATTTTCTCCTGCGTCGTGGGTGTGTTTACAAAGATACAATTTCACATACACATCACACCCGGACCACCAGGAACAACAATTTGTAGATCACTTATAGAGTTGTCCCGTGAGGGAATCCAACTCGCGACACGTTGCGCGGCAACTAGTTACCCAGCCACCGCGCCAGCCGTGCAGTCAGAATAGTTTCTAACCATGGGTTGTTTACGTATTTTGTCCCTCCTTTTTTTTTAAATCGGTCTTTTTATAAGCACTTGTGATTTTGCCGAAATGAATGAATTCAATTTAGGGTAAACGCACCAGTAATGGAAGGACCCAATTATGGAGGAAAAATAGTTAAATATCCAAGAATAAGGACGTTAACCACTTTTTTATGTTGGAAATACTGTGACGTATAATTTAGATCTAAAGCTGTTATAGTTTAAAATTTTATTTCATTCTGCCAGTTAGATGGAAAAGTGGCGGGATTTTAAAGGTTTCCGGTAAGTACCTAAAAATTGATATTCGTTGCTTTTCTTAAGGAATTTGTTAGTGCGATAAATAAAAAGTTTCATCTTTAAGCTGGTATTGCTTTATTTTAATCAGAATGTGTTTTGTTTGTTGGGTTAATTATGAAATGAAAACAGCACACACTTGTTGTTGTAGATCAGAGAGGTTGTTTTTTTGGATTTTTATTGATGTTCAGAAACTGGTGCGATGTAACAAAGAGTTCTAATTATGGACAAATGTCGAAACTTGATTACAAGTACTCTTGTATGATCAGGTTTTTAAACAGATTTTATTCTAATTTTTATTCTATGCTACAAATTAGTAATATATATTATGTATTACTATAAGTTATAAAAATAAGGATGTGTACGCGTGCACCAGCAATAAGTCATCAGTCCTATTTCAGTTATTATTTGAAATGATGAAATATAATAATTTATTGTTTTTGAAATGGGCTGAGCTATTGGAACAGCAAAAAAGGGTTAAAATACTGGAAGTATTGAATAAGAAAGCCTGATTGAGATTATTTTCTAAAAAAAACCATTTAAATATTTTAGTGTACCTCATCACATAATAGAGTTAAGAACATTGTCAAATTGAAAAATAATCATAAGGATTTTATTCTATTAAATTTTATCAACATTTCAATAATGATCGTAAATTCTACGATTATTACTAGGCGTGTCATACTAGATTTGTGTCTAGAACTGGACGTCCATGACTAGGTTCATGTCCATTACTGGATGTCCATGACTGGGTTCATGCCCATTACCTACAGGATTTTTGCTATCCATAACTGGTGTCCCAGTCGACACCAGTTTTGCAATATCTCATACCTAGGTAACACAGTGGAAATATCGTGTAAGCGAAGAGCACTTTAAGCTTTAGGCATTTTCTTTACTGAAACTTTACAATATTGGTAATATTTTACAAATACTTACTAATATTTTTTCTCTCAAACTGTCCATAATTGGGCTGTTTAGCCTACTATAAAGATTTACATTAGGTACATTTGTTATTAAGCGAAAGAATGTTGGTTTTACTTTTAATACTCACAAAACAAATAGTTTTACACTTATAATTCAATTTCTAAATTTATTCATTAAAATTAATTTCCATACATATTCCATCATAGCTATAATTTAATACGTCTTAGCAATATTCATATTAAATCTCTTTTAGGTTGTAGAATTGGGATGTAATAAGTTAAATATTATACCTGTTCTTATAACAGGTAGTATTATGGCATGGACAAATGTTCCGAAAAAATAACAGTTCTCAATACCTTTTATTTAATCTAATTCCCATCTTAAATATCGGTATTGAGAAGACATCGCATTGTTCTCTATGGTATAACCACAGATTACAAAACAAAGGCAGATAGACCCTGCAGAACACGGAAGTGAAGCCACCAAAGCAAATACAAATTCAAAAGCGATTACAAATTCGAGTCAACTTTCAAGCGTCACATCGTTATGCGTCATAGATAATATTATTATACTTTAAGAATAATGCCGTTTTGTGTTCTCAAGTAGTGTGAATGTTGTTCCCAAAAATAAAAATAAAGAGGAAGGAGTTTGTTTTCATAGTTAAATATTGATTATTTTTCTATTTGGATATTATTTTAATTGGGTAATTACCCACGTAAAATATTTTTTCAGTGAATTCTCGGAACACAAAACCTTAATAAACATCGGTCGGTGTTGCTAGTTTACTTTGAAATCTTTTACCCTTAAGTTGGGTAATATGTATGGGAAACAGGATATTGACTTCCGAAAATATTTCGATAACAATGTTTTGTTTGTCTCACTTTTTGATTAGTATTTTGAGAAAATAAGTCATAAATAAATTATGTTATAGTATGTCATAGTTTGATGGACATGCTAAAAATGTTACGACCATGGGATTGCTTGGTTCGTTTGTTTGCAATATTATAACAACTTAGTACAAAATAACGGCTGCTAATTACTTATATTTACACATCATTACATTTTTATAGCGGCGAGAACTTTTGATATTTATGAGCTCTTCATTGTTTTGCAATACATTCACATTTCATAAGGTTTTTTTTGAAAAACGAATATCAAACTACAGTTATTAAAGAAAATACTCAATTTAATCAACTACTTATGTTTATTACAATAAAACAAACAACATTATACTAACTAATTGTAGTGCTATGTATTAAAATACAAATTAACAGCCACACGTACGCACACACAGATTGCTACATATACAGTTTAGGAAAAAACACTTATTACAAACACATAAAACGTTCAATCACAAAAAAATCTATTACAGATCAAACACACTGAAGAATTAATTACTTAATAATAGTTGTTGACAGATTTTACAATTCATTAAATCCCAAAAAATATTCATTCATTCATTCATTATTCATTTACTTTTAATAATTACTATTAATTATAATTACAATTACATATAATAGAAAGATACACACAATAAAAATTAGTAGTTACAATTGTGAATTTATTAATAACGACTTACTTTGGGAATTAAGTGTGGAAAGCTTTCCTAGTATTTAGTCACAACAGGAAACTTACCCGACGGTCACCCTAATATAAAAAGCAGGGTGGCCGTCGGGGAGACGCGCGCAGCCTAAACAGCAGTAGTTTTTACATTTAATAAACTTGAGTAAGTCATTATTTTAGATAACAGAAATAAAATGAAAATTCTACCTAAGAGATCGGCCACATCGGACACAGTTACATGTTTGTTTCCTGTCTACCTGTTGACTACCACGATAGCGTATGTCCGCATGCATAGTGCTTGTGATGGCTCATTTATATATAAGGAAATGTCTGTCTCATTTATCACAAGTGCTGAAATAATTCACGATAAAAGTAAAATGTGTTTATAATATAGCTTTCTAAGGTAAGGTTGATTGTTATCATTCGAATTAGTAATAAGTTTTCGTTAGTCGGATATACAGTCTCGCAATAGTCAAAGGTTTCCTAAAAAATATGTTAAATTAATGTTTGAGAGGATTATTATATTTTATATTTAAAACATATTTTGTTCTATACACTTAAAGTATTTCTTGTTGAAGTATAAAACATATAAAATATCAATTACTGTACTTTGAAATATTCTAAAGTCAAATTAAATATACTTATAATCATGAGGTCAGTCCTATCTTATATTATTTCATTTTCCCTCGAAACATTTGCTAGTTATGTTTACCAATGAAATAACTATAATTTTAATGTGGGTGATTTAGTAAAAACTATCTCGCACACTTTTAATTGTATTCTAAGTTGACAAATATAAGTCCTAACCGATAAGAGCGAGATGGTCAAGTCATAGAATAAAATATACAGTACTTATATTCATCGAACAAAACATTGAATGCTATCTTTGCTTTACAAGAGGGTTCCGTCCATCAGCAAGTTCAGTTTTCCGCCCTAAAGACAATGCCAGCTTTAAAGTAAGAAATCGATAAACGTTAATAATTATTAGTTAATTACTTACATGTATCAACAAAACTTCTTTATTGTAAGGTAACAATATAATAAAAAATATTTGAGCTATACATAATAGCACTCTTGTAAATATCCTCAATAGCTCAAGGTCACGTGGCGTGGACGGTTATCAGTAACTCGTATTTCGCACTTTTGTTAGTAAATCGAGTTGATGTTCATTTTCATTTACTTACTAGACGTCAACAACAGCCCCGTCCGAATATCATTTCATTCCAGAGAAAACGAGTTGAGATCGAAATCAAACTTATTAATAGAATCTCAAGGACTAGGTTTTTCAAAATCGAAGACTAAACTAAACGGATTGTTGCGTTTGTTTATTGAGTATTTTAGTAAATTGTGTTAGATTTCAAACTCCCAGTCCTTCCTATTGTCCATTAAGTAACAGCAAGTAAAATATTATTTAGTTTATTAACCTATAGATAGAATGAGTCATAAAAATTGGAAACATTTGAACTGTTAATATTATGTTACAACAATAATTAGACAATATATTGTATCTATGACCTCTCAGTATTTCAATGTCACAGAGCTACGCGATAATCGTACCTTCTGAAACAATACCTTTATCATATAAACCTATGCATGAGTGTGTAATCTCCGAAGAATCTGTCTGTCAGATGTCATTTTTTTGTAACCTGTCAACAACAAGTTCTAGAGACCTTTACTACTATCTTTTGCCCCTTTTACCTTTCCAGCTCTACCCTGAACCTACCCCTTTATTTCTAAGAACATTTTCCTTGCAGTTACAGATACTAAATATTTCTGTTCTTAATATTTGGGCTTAGAAACAATTTAACAAATCGTTTATATAATAAATGTTGTAAAATTTTGAATTAGATTCCGTTTGATTACTTTTCATGTTTAAGACTTTTTATCGAATAAATGGCAACCAAGCTGAATCTCAATGAATAGAACAAGACTTGCTAGACACCGTAACTAAAGTAATATTGAATATTAAAAGAAAACGTGAATTAACTGAGAAAAGCTCAACCAGTTTCAAGTCAAAATGAGACTCATTGATAAGACAAGTCGAGTGATCACGCGGCTGGGCCGGCAAACGCTTGGAAACAGAGCCTAAAATCTACGTCAATCCCCAAGTATTCCCAACTTAGAGTGTGACACAATAAGCGTGGCATGTAACACTGATTCGATCAGGAATTGAACCTAACCCCATCGCCGCTGAACGAGCCGGTCAACATCGTCACCAACGCTACCGCACCGTTGCAGTTGGAAGCAAGCGCACGCCTTTGACGGTAGCAGGCGCAATTCCAGCTGCGTGTGAAAAAGAGCCCGTCGTGACTTTAAACTGGACGAAGTTCGTTCTCAGTCGTTATTGTCATTAGTATGTTTCAAGATTATTACTAAGTAGAGATTTAATAAAAACATGAATATCAAACTTTGTTGAGTTTTTGACAGATTACAAAAAATCTAGATGTAGAAGGTTTTAGTTTATTCCCCGTTAATGTCCTAATTCGTCATCTCTTTATGAAAAAGCTATTGTTAAATAGGTTTTTTTAAGATGTTTGTTTACCGTCAGACATATGTTTTGTTACAAATTACTAAGAAAAATATATATATTATTACAAAATAAGTATTCTTGTATTAGAGATAAGTATGTATCTTATAATCTAATATGGCTTATTTATTGCTTCTTGATATTGCCACTAAATACTAGATAGCCTTGTAAAAAGGCAAGTGAATGTCCATAATTGCTGAAGTTATTAGATGCGATAAAAAAATAAAAAAAGAAGCTTTGACATTTTGAAATATGGGAGTATTTGTGTTCTTATTAAGTTTTCCATTAAGAACTTCTTGTACCAACCAATATCAACATATCAGATGTTTGGCCTGGTTAATTGATGAATAACTAGAGCCCGTATCCGACTTCAGTTTAAAACAAATTTTATTAAGGGTAGTTTTGCAATATATTTATGTATAGATAGTAATTGCAACAGTTAATATTGTTTTATCAAATTTATTGAATTATTTTTTTTATTTATCACGTGTTCAAGATTATAGAAATATCCGAAAAAATGGCGTTTTGAACACGAAACAGCCAGCTCGATGCGCGTTAATAGCGCATTCGCCGTTTGTGACATTATTTTCTGCAGCAGTAACGAAAACCGCTCTTGGATAAAATAAATGAAAATTAGCGTTTGTAATTCCTGTTGATTTTTTAAAATGTGTTTTTATGTTACTCTGTGTAGTAATAGGTAGGTAAAAGGTAATAGTTTAAGACAACAGAGATTATTTTATTCATGAAATATATAAATTGTAGAAATACAACTTGAATACAAGGCTGTCTACAAAAATCTGACCGATGTAAAGGCGTTTAATGTTTTATTGTTTCAATACACAAATATTATAAACTACATACTAAACAAAGTGGAGAATTGACTGTTTAAAGATGCAAATAAATATAAATAGCCAAAAAATATAGTATAAATGTATTTTTATGACGTGTGACACCTATCTTATGGTACCAATTGAAATTATGTATGTAATGTTTCTATTATAATTTTAAAGAAGACCGGACATTACATTGTTGTCACTGTTATTTGAATTTACACCACCTGGTTTACTGACGAACAGACTGACGGACTATTTTTCTATTTGACGTTTCGAATATATTACATTATGGTAAGTAGGAAGAAATGTTTTTTACTTTGACAATAGTTGCGAGATGTGTGTATTAATAACTGGGTGTTGGTTATTCAGAAAACAGTACTAGGTTTCTGTGGGACAGTTTTCGGATTGTCAAAATCTAAATTAGTGCATAGTGACGAAGCCGGAGTACTGGGCTCCTATTTCTGTCCTATCTGTCTACCATGTCGGATTGTCATATCGTCTACTGAAACTAGTTTAGCCTAGGCCAAACCAGTTTATTCTGAATCAGATTTGGTAAGGTGTGCTTTAACTGTAAAAAATTGTTTTTGTCATATAAAAATTATTAGTCATATTACTCTCATACTGCTCTAAAATATAACAAAACATTTAAAACGGTAGGATTTTAATAGACAACTCGAGTCAGTCCCAAATAATGTTACAAAAACCCATCTAGAATCCTGCATAGTCATAAATAATAAAATAATCTCTTTGGGCTACTATATCATATGATTATCTATTGTACAATAGCGCCGACGTATCTTGGCGAGTCTGAAGTTAGCCGAGTAGCTGCGCAGTACACAATTTTGTTCCTAAAATATCCATTGCGCAGACAAACAGCTAACTTCAGACTCGCCAAGATACGTCGGCCGTACTGTAATCGTGCTGCATTTCAGTTAATAACTTCATCGTGACAATAAAATCATATTTTTCTACATTTGTAACAAAACATATGATTAGTTCAAAAGTTTTTAGCATTTGTCAGCTTTGTATACATTTCTTCTTAATTATTCTAAGTTTATACCTACTTACTATATCTACATTCAGTTCGGTTACCAACCCCTATCTATATCACGAGGCATCTGGTGGTACCACTGACTCGGCGTTCAACAGCATTTTGGCCAGGAACGTCATGAAGTTGGGGGTAGCCATCAATCCCTGAAATAGGAAACAAAAGTTTAGTTATGTTTTAATTCCCTTTGGTTTGCTTAACATAGGTACATGTGTGTCTATATTTACAAAAAAATACTAACAGGAAGTTTTGAAATGGTATACCGTATAATAGTAAAACGCCACTGAACCCCAGCAGTTAAGATATAAATATAACATTGACATGCTAGACATGTTTTAATAATATGATACTTACGTTCTCTTTTTCTGGCATGATATTTAGACCATTACTCCCTGGCATTTTCTAAAATAAAAGAAAACATTAATTAGCGCATACAAATTATGCACAGTGCAACTGGTTAGATTGGTTATTACAATAATAATCGAATAAATAGATTTAATTTGTTCGACAGGCCACTGTGTGTGTATTTCAGCTTCTCGGACGTCTTCTATGGTATGTGATAGGAAACGAACAAACAACAATAATAATATTGTACACCTTAGAGAATTTTGTGACATGAGTATATTGAGAGAGGTACAAAAATAGTATAGTACAGCTCAGGAAGAATCTTATGCGGTGACATTTGGAACTACGAAATGTTTGCTGTGGCAACACTATTAAAACTTCCGCTACCGGTAATTTCTGTGTCAAAAAAATAATTCCGTCGTGTTATTTCACTGCTTGTTACAAAATTTATCAACGATTAATGTTTACTTGTATATTCATATTGATTAAAACTATTCGTTCGTAGAGCAGTGATATTATATTAAGTCTACTCGAGATATGTAGTCGAATCTGAAGTGGCAACAATTTGGCCTCCGATTGACATTGCTTATCAGAAATATGCTAATTAAGTTATTATATTTATATACTAATTCCTTATTTCATCAGTAACATGAGTTTATTGAGTCTATACATAGTCTGGCCATAAATACTGTTACAATTAAAAATAAACAAATATTACATTTGAATTTGGAATCTGTCATTTTTATATAATTTTTCACTGTGTTTTCTTATTTTGGCGCCGATAAATTGTTCAATATTTTGCGATATTAAAATGGAGTGGGGTGATAAAGAGAACCGAATCGCTGTGATTGCATTACACAAAGTAGGTATGGAGCCAAATGCAATTTTTAAAACTCTCCACACGCTTGGCATTAGTCAAATGTTTGTGTACCGTGCTATTAATAGGTACAATGAGACCTCCTCTGTTTGTGACATAAAAAGATCGGGCCGTCCACGTAGTGTTCGTACGAAAAAGGTGGTCAAAGCAGTAAGGGAAAGAATTCGAAGAAATCCTGTCTGAAAGCAAAAGATTTTATCTCGGAAGATGAAGATAGCACCTAGAACCATGTCGCGTATTTTAAAAGACGACTTAGGACTTGCAGCCTATAAGAGACGCACTGGACATTTTTTAAATGATAATTTAAAAAAGAATAGGGTGATAAAATCTAAGCAACTACTGAAGCGGTACGCAAAGGGAGGTTTGATTTCGGATGAGAAAATTTTTACAATTGAGCAACATTTTAACAAACAAAATGACCGTCTTTATGCTCAAAGCTCTAATCTTTTTTTAAATATATAAATTAAATGGAAGCTCTAGGTTTGAGAAGTCTGTCCACATATATTTAAATTAATCTGGTTAGATTTATAAAATAATAAAAATAATTTCTGGACGTGACCTTTCACAGAAATCGGTTCAGTAGTTTAGGCGTGAAAAAAAGACAGACAGACAGAGTTACTTTCGCATTTATAATAAAAGTTTGGATTTTAAATGTCAACAGTAAAAAGAATACAAGACTAGTATAGTAAACCCACAGTATTTGGGATATGACTGTAGAGCTGCCTAAATTTTGCCACATTTTTTAACCAAGCTGTACCATATATATACTACTTTTGTACCCAAAAAACCTTCGATAACTATTCCCCAAAAATCCGAATTTGTCCTATTTGTAGTATTTTTCCAGTTCAGAATACATAACAATTTAGAAAACAATAATAGGCAGCATTCGATAAAATTTATCAAATCTTACACTTTTATTTAATAAATAAAAAAAAATTAAATTATTTCTCAAATAACTGTAATATGTGCATGAAAAATATTTTTGTAAATACTTTTACTATTGAATAGTTTATTCATCAGTTATAAGCCAAGGCTATTAATTAATACAGTTGTTTTCAATTCTCCACTTTGTTTTTTTACTTCATCAAGTAATAATGTTGCACTCCACAACTTGTAAATAGACATAAATTAATAACTAACACAACGTACTACGGCGTAGCAGTACGTAGCTCATCTCGTAGCTAATTTGGGTCGAATATCGAAACTTATGTTATTTTGAACCAAATTATATTTTGTATGCCAGTGTGAACCAATTAGACAAGAGTTTTCAACTTAAGTAATCAAAGTTCATCAGTCGAATAAGAAATCCAAGTTACTAACATGTACTTAGGGACTCGCAACGAATCTTTCTATAAATTTCAAAAACGACTTAAGTATTTGGTGTTTGAGAAATTGAATTTATTTGGTTAATAGCAAGAGGAAGGGAGGCAGGGGGACATCTAATACATAGAGCCCTATTCTCTACTCTCAGTTCCGGTAGTGAGCAATGTCGTCATCCGTATTAAGATTGATAAAAGATCATTAAAATTGCGAAACTAGAGTAAAAGCTTACTTTTATCGTATGACCGCCTGTATATCTTCAACGCGTCTGTTTTTGTATGGTTCACGAGACAGAGATGTACGAAGTATATAATTATCATTAATAATAACAAACTGAAAGTAACAATTAGATGAATAAATAAACATTTTCTCCTCTAGTAAATTTAGTTTTACTATTTTCAGGTGGCATTTTACTGGAAAGTCAAAATCGTGGGCCCTAGATATTAATCGAGACATGCTTAGCCAACTTTCAATATTTTTTTAATATAATTTATTTAATGTTGGTACTACATTATAGGCTTATTTATAAAAGAGAGCCGACGAACGACTTGAATTCTCTTATTTTGATTAATGTGGGAAGTTCAACAATATCTAGTATTGGATAAAACTTTTTTATTATTCACATTGCTCGCAAAGGATTTCCATAACGGCAGTCACATAGTACCTAGGTATCTTGTAATTTGAGAGTCTAAAAGCTTCAAAATAGAAAAAAGCTATCTAAACATACATACGTACCTAATAACTTGTATGCTGAATAATATATTAAATATATTTAAATTTATTAGCATTTGCAGTAAAAGATTTTTTTCTTTGTCATCAGGGTTTATCATACCACATTCGATAAAGTTATTAAAAAAACTATAAATATTTTATATAAAATAACTATTTATATAAACTATATACATATACCTTAAAATGAGGTGAATAGATGTTAGTGAATTTCCCTAGTATCTATTTACCCCTCTATTGTGTCTATTCACCCCTCGAATTATATTGACCCAGTTTGTTGACCGTACTGAATAAGTATAAGGACAAAGTTTCTTCGTTATTAATTTCCTTTACGTGTATCACAAACTTTTTGTACTCACTCATAAAAGTTTAAGAAAAACACTTAATTCTTATAGGTAATGCATTTAATCACAAACTGACAAATACATTTTCGGTTACATATGTAGATTTAGCATCAACACCTAAGTACTACTAATGGGAACCATAGTAGTTGGCAGATATAAATCGCAAAAATGTAAGGAACTTATTTTTAACTAGTTACTTTTAATGACGGAAATAAATAAACTCAAAATAAAAGAACAATACAAGTTTAGTGAAATACTGCCTTAATTAGTAACTGTATATTCAAGTTCAGAGGCCTACCATGACGTGTTGAAGCGTAAATCTTCCAGACGAGAAAGAGGGATGGAGCTATACACCTTTTACAGCTTAGCTTCCTCCCTCTTTCTCGGCCGGAAGACTGAGAAGACACGCGTCATGGTAGGCCTACAGTTTTAATTACAGCATTATTTGTTGTCAATATTTATGTTAATTTGCAATGCCACAGTCAATAATCAATATTAATTAAATTTTTTAATGTATAAAATATTTTACAATGCTTAGTAATATTCTAGAGTAAATACAAATACTTATATTAAGTCAGCCCCATCTTATAGTATTTGAATTTTTCCAATAATAAAATGAGTCTATTTTTTATGTAGATGAACCAGCACGGGATTGGTATAAATAATGTTTAGAATCTATATCATTTAGTTTCCAGTAATAAGAGTTGAAATCGAAAACCCGTTTCTTAGGATAATTCGACTTATCGCAATTCTTTAGGACTGGATTTTCAATAATCTAGGACTTATTTAGATATATCTAAATGAGTCTTAGATTCTAAGAATAATTTTAAAAAGTGTTTTGTGTCCGTTACAGACAATAAAAAAGAATGCAAGAATGGCTTCAGCTTTTTTTTAAGATTTGAGCTTTAGCATTACGGATAATTATTGAAGAATGATATCGTAAAATTTTAGATTGTCCTGATGATCCTTAAGACATGTATAAATTTTGTTACGTGTGTTATTTACTTCAGCCTTTGAGGAGCACTACACTTTGAATTGTATCTTTACAGAGAAGTATGGCTTTTTCAAATTATATTTTTTAATGAATTACTGCAATGTAGAGATCAAGAGGCTTGTAGGCTATGCACGTAGGTGTCCGCGTATGTAGAACGTAATAGTTAACAATAATAATTAACAATAACGACTTACTCATCAGAAACTAAGACAAGCTCTACCAGTTTCAGGTCACAACGAGACTTACTTGCTGTGACCTGCCTGCCTGTAGCCTACAAACCCCTTGATCTCTACATTACATTTCATGAACAGCTTGCACGTCGCGACGATGATGGAGCTGACTGGTGACGCTCGAACTTATGCATGTACGCCCAACCGCGTCCTCTGCTGGCAAACGCGCGCGTTTGTTCCACTGTGACGGGTGCGGCGGTTAGGATCGACGTTAAAGGCTCGGCTCGTTAGCCGACGTTGGTGTTCACAAAATCAGTGGTACATGCCACGGTTACCGAGTCCACACTTCAAGTTGAAAACGCTCGAGAACGACATAAGATTTCAGGCCTGGTTTGTAAGTGGGTGACATTGTCTAGACACGGTCTCTATTAAAGCACGGACGGCTTATCTCGATGACATCCTGTACTTTCTGCGACACGAAGTATTCCTCCCTCGCTAGTACGGAGACCTAATCGAAACGTATGGAAGGAACCGCGTCCGTACAACAAACGTGCTTGGCCACCGACTATGCATGGTTCATTATCATCCGTTTCCTTCACGCTATGTATATGTTCCTCTAACCTGGTTGCGATATTGCGGTGAGTTCTCCGATGTACTGCGGGTACAGCGAATGGATCTGTGCATTTAAGACCAGGTTAAATCAGGGAAACTCGCCGTAATATTGCAACCAGGGTAAAGGAAGGTGTACCTACGTAACGTGGCGAAGATAACAAGACATCGGCAATGGTTGAGCACGTTTTGGTTAGGACGCGGTCCAATTCAACGCATTTCGAAAGTTTCCATACAGCAAGGCAGAAATACATCATCCCGCGGAACGGCGGAAGGCCATCAAGATAAACGCCGTCTGTGTTTTAACAGAAACGGTGTATAGGCAGAGTACCACCCGGTTAGAGCCGGGCTTGAAATGTACGTCGATCTACAGTGCTATCAACTTGGACTGAGACAAGGGAAGCGTGGCATGTAATTTTGAGACACCAAAACCGACGCTGCTAAACGCGCAGGGCGTCTATTGTCGCTTACACAGCCGCTCCTGTCGCAGTTGGAAGCAAGCGCTCGAGTTGTCGGTAAATAGCGCGATGGGCGCATAAGAGAGTAATCAGTCGGCTGCACACGCGCACGCTGCTCACGAACAGAATTGCCGTTGTGACTTCAACTATACGAGTTTCTCTCAGTTAATACAAGAACAACTTATTTTGTTGACATATTACAAAAAACCTAGAAGTGATATCTTATATTATTTATATCACGAGGCATCTGCTGTTACCAGTGTTGACTCAGCATTTTCGCCAGGAACGTCATGAAGTTGGGTAGCCAGCAAACCCTGAAATTCGAAATAGGAACATCAAGTTGGTGTTATACATTGAAATTTGTTCTGTTTTTAAGATTATATTTTGTAATCTACCTTTTTACAATAAAAGTAAATAATTAAAATTACTAATTTTATGCCAATTAGGTTAAATTAATGTTTAATGTTTAACTTAATTGGTGTTTAATTAAAATTAATGTTTAATAAAACATTAATGTTTAAAATTAATGTTTAATAAAACATTAATTAATTGTTTTTTTCATTAGGTTTTAATTCCGTTAAATCGTTTTCGTTTTGTAAAACTACATGTGTATGAACATATTGATGTGACATTTTTAGGGTGGAAAATCCGTAAATTCCTTCTGTCGAGATACAGAGAGATGATAGGGCGAGAAGGAGCATCAAATTTTACTCAGTACAAAATAACACCATGCCGTCATCGAACCCGCGACACGTTGCTCAGCAGCCAGTTGCCCAGCCACTGCGCCAACCGTGCAGTCAAAAAGTTTATCTACGCTACGTTACGCTGCTGCCCAGAGACAGCGGTAGTTGATTTTTCTTGGCATATATAGGTAGAAGAACCTATTACATTTCTGGACACATCTATTGACTTACCTTAGAGTTTAGGTTTCGATGGTCCTTACTGAAATATGATTGCTAGATTGAAAAAAACTAATCATGCTGTTTTAAAAATGATACGATTTACCATCTTTTTCGATTGTATTGTTTTAAATTTGAATTCAGAATACCATACGACATGGAGCTACGCCTAACAAGTCGGATATGCGCCTCGTTAAAGGCAATTGATTTTTGAATAAAAATCATGTTTTATCAAATAAAGGTTTAATTTAATAACGCGTGTAGCCTTCGCATCTACCACAACTCTCAGTCGGTTAGGCATAGAGTTTATCAACCGCTCTATGAAATTTTGAGGGATCATCTACCATTCCTCTTCTATAGCAGTTTGCAACACCTGCATCGTCAGGGCAACTGACTGACGAGCCCTAACTCGTCTTTTTAGCTCGTCCCACATGTGCTCAATGGGGTTCATGTCTCGGCTTCTGGCTGGCCAGTCTATAACTGTGATGATCATCCCGAAGATATTCCCTGACGATTTCGGCCGCAGTCAGTCCATGAGCCACCGCCATTAGCAACCCTCTCTTCAAAGCAGCAATGTGCAAAACGCTCTCCCTTACGTCGGCAGGCCTTCTTCCTTCCATCATTTCCATGTAATACAATTTTAGACTCATCAGAAAAGAGTACACAGCTCCTATCTTGCTGTGTCCAATTTAAATAACAACGTGCGAAATGAAGGCGCACTGTTCGATGGGCTCGCGTTATTTTGGGCCCTCTAGCTGGCTTGTGTGGTACCATATCGCGTTCTTTTAACCTTCTCCGACAGTTCGAGCGATCACAGATACTCCGTGGAAGTCGCGAAGTTGGTTTTGTATCTCACTGGAGGTAGGTAAGGTGACGATTTCTCAAGCTGGTCGTCACGATGAATCGACCCTGCCTTTCAGTTATGACCCGAAATCGTGGCCTTTTTTGCGTCGAATAAAGCCGCCAGTCTCTATGTACCTCCGATAAATATTTCGGACCGACAGATCGACTTAAATTAAGTTGAGCACTCACTTTTATTTGGCTGTGTCCGGCCTGAATAAGTGCCACAGCTTGGGCGGAGGCTTCAAGTAAAGTTTCCTCAGATTATTGATAGAACCTCACCTTAATGTTGAGGATAAGTAATATTCGTTGCTAAACCAAAGATACAAATTTTTACACACTTTTTCAAGAATTAAATCCAAATAAACCAATAAAACCAAGTTTTCTTAATATTCGAATGTTTGATATCAACAAACAGGCTCCAAATTGTCTTTTGTTTATTAAATACTGTGTTCAAAATTCAAAAAAGACTAATTGAATAAAACACTATTGAATGAAATTGTTAATGTGCCAGGTTCAAACTGCATAAAACTTTTGCTCGACCTAATATAAAAAATTAAGCTAGGACCAAACGAAACTGAAAATACTAGGTGGGCCAATAGATGTGTCCAGAAGTCAAAGATATTCTCTTTGCCAGAAATGTATAATGCTTTTATTAAAATTGTTTACTAACCGGTTTGAAAAGTGCCGCAACAACTGAAGAGATTATTGCCTTCTTCCGTGCACAAGATTATTTTATTTAGTTCTTCAACGTTTTGCCTGTGGGCTTTCAACGTTTTTCTTGGGTAACTCCTCCCGGAGATAGAGCCTCCCTGATAAAACAGAAGAGCGTCAGAAATTAATATCTAATAAAGCCTACATGAACATCTTAAATATTAATATAAAATAGCTTTTGATATTAATTTCAAGATATACATGTTCATTGCCAGATTCAAAACCACCAAACCAAATATTATCTAGCCATTTGTTCAAAACCAGGGTGAAGTCAATCTCATAATAATCATAAATTGATAAGTTTCGCGCATTCAATGACATTTTACGTTCTGGCACAAAGGAAGCATAAGAGCAGATTGAGTACAGCTACGCATGCTTTGTAATTATATAGCAATGGTAAGACATTAAGATACTTAGTCATACTTGACTTCGTGTTCTGAACAGCTGCAGCAGCTAAGTGATACAAATTTATACCTGATTTCTGTACTTTCGCACATTTTGCACTTCTTTGCGCGAGACTGACCAGTGCTGAGCAGTGGAACCTCCGTAGAGCTGCTGACTGGAGACAAAATCAACAAATAATTACAATTGAAACAAAGTTTAAATACGATTTAATTCCTCATGGTTTGCTTCATACATGTCTATATCCATATTTACAAAAAATATACTAACAGAAAGTTTTGAAATGATATACCGTATAATAGTAAATCGCCACTGAACCCCAGAAGTTAAGGCGTATAGTACCCTCAATAACCTTGAGCATACTAGAGCACGACTGGTGAGGGCTGCGTTCGCCCGATTTTTATATATGGAAATCCCATTATTATAACATGTTCTTTGCAAAATATTGACCGATTTACATAAGTGCTGCCCACTTTGTAGTAAAATTTAACACCGATTGATCTATTAAAAAAAAACCAAGCCATTTAGAAGGAATAGGCATTCATGAACAAAATAGCGTGTTGGTAAATATTTTTTCACAGCTTAACTTTTCGTCATAAGAAAATCAAATTTACTAGATTATTAAATTGGTTATTAATTATTTTCTATTTACCTAAATGAAAACATGCATTAATTTCTACAATTTATTTTCCTTTTTAAAGTCGGAATATTTTTGTTAAAAATTATTTATTTCACCATTTTAAGTAATAGGCAGAGCAAGCAAGTATAATGGTTTTCGAATGAAAAGACGACGGCTACTTGATACCGAAAATCACGGTAATAGAAGTCCTGAATTAGTCAGTATTCAGTGCTGAAAATCGTGAGGAATTCCCTCGACTGTCAATGGTCTCCATCATCATGTACACTGCAGACCTTCAATATACTTACATAATCCATATAGGTGCAAAGTTCTCATCAATATAAATTAATTAAATCCAGGCACAACGTCATTACTCCAAATAGTCAAAAAGATCCCACGACAGTCTTCCTGCTCCATCATCAGATTTACTCCATAACTTCATTGTAACCCATACTGGTGTGTGAGTTTTCATCGATATAAATGAATTAAGTCCAAACACGAAGTAGTTACTGTGAACCGTTTAGGAGTTCCCTGAGCTATCCATCGTTCTCATTATCAGACCCCTAATGACAGTGACGACCAATCTTGGTGCAAAATGCTCACCAATACGAATCATTCAAGCCCAAACACAAGGAAACTACTCCAAATAGTGCAGGAGATCCCTCGACGGTCTTAAGGCTCCATTATCAGGTCGAGTTCGACCATCGGCAAGTTGTAGCGTTGTAAAAAGCCTACTAAAACAACATGCAAAATCACAACTCGCCCCTACAATTTTCGAAACTACCCCTCGGTTTCCCTAAGATTCCATCATCAGATCCTGACCTCATGAAATGGGACCCTCTCGGGAGTATAACCTTTCAAACAAAACAAGAATTTTGGTAATCGGTTCATAAATGGCGGAGTAATCGGTGAACATACAAAAAAAACCAATCGCCCGAACATAGTACCTCCTCCTTTTTTAGAAGTCGGTAAAAAGTATAAAACAAGATTTTCAGAATACTGAAAAACGTTGTCAAAGTGCTACGGTAGATAGGTATATGCACTTTATATTCGCGGTATTTATTACAGACTAGCGACCCGCCCCAGGTTCGCACGGGTCCAACTATCTCGCTATCAAAGGGCCACTTTTTCCTTATCTTCCCCTCTAGTTTTCTCATATTTTCTTTCATAAGAACCTTCTCCTGACAATAACAAACACAACAAAAAAAGAATTAGCAAAATTGGTCCAGGCGTTTTTGAGTTATGCGCTTACCAACACATTTTGCAATCCATTTTTATATATAAGAAGACAAGAATGCATAGCAATTTAGAAAAAAAAATAAGGCAGCATTCGACAAAATTAATCAAATCTTACTTTTGTTACCATATCGTAGAACACCCAGATAAAACGCTTTGTCAAATTTGAATACTAACCGGCTTAAAGAGTGCGGCAACAACTGATGATATTCTTGCATTCTTCGTGCACAAAAGCCTATTTTTTTTTTTTATTTACTTCTTCAACTTTTTGCTTGTGACTTTCAACCTTTCTCTTCAAGAACTCCTCCCTGAGAAACACAAGAGCGTCAGAACGATAGTCTCTTATCAAGCCTACATGAACATGTTACAAATTAATATAACACGATACACGGTATAATTAAGGAAAGGTAGCAGAAAACAAGGTGCAACACAAGGTAGCTACTGTTATCCGTTGAAGAGTTTTCTTAGCTATTGTGATGAATTATTCTTCATCACCAGACCCCTCATAACATTAACTACATCTAGGTGTCAACTTCTCGGTGATGCAAGTTAATCAAGCTAAAACTCCGCTCTAAGCCCGCAAGCCCTTTCGTCTATATTTCGGCTCGATCATCACGTCAAATTCAGACCTTCGTAAAATTGTAGTGCTTTAAAATATCTAAGTACTTAGTTACTAAACGAGTAAAAGGACTAGGCATGGTACATTATTGTGTACTTGCCCGCACTGCTACCCCGGCTGAACATTAACCATGTTGAACCAATTCTTCTGCAGTGTAGTCACAGTACAACTACATTGTGGGGTATTGGTATCTGTGAAGCACCCGCGAGGTCTACGAGCGAGGTACTCTTGCGCACTGACCGCAGACCCGAAAAAATTAACTTATGCATAAACATACATAAATCATGTACTAAAATTGTGATAACAATTCTAACTAACCTATGTAACCGGTTTGTAAATTGCCGCAACAACTGAAGATATTCTTGCATTCTTCATGATTTTTTATTTAGTTCTTCAACCTTTTGCTTGTGACTTTCAACCTTTCTCTTCAACAACTCCTCCCTGAGAAATACAAGAGCGTCACAACGATAATATCTTATCAAACCTGCATGAACATGTTAAAATTTGTTATAAAATAGCTTGTGCTAGTAATTACAAGATAAACATAATAAAACAAATTGCTGATATACCTAGTCTAGCCATAAATACTGTCACAATTAAAAATAAACAAAATATTACATTTAAATTTGGAATCTGTCATTTTTATATAATTTCTCATTGTGTTTTCTTATTTTGGCGCCAATAAATTGTTCAATATTTTGCGATATTAAAATGGAGTGGGGTGATAACGAGAACCGAATCGCTGTGATTGCATTACACAAAGTGGGTATGGCGACAAATGCAATTTTTAAAACTCTCCACACGCTTGGCATTAGTCAAATGTTTGTGTACCGGGCTATTAATAGGTACAATGAGACCTCCTCTGTTTGTGACAGAATAAGATCTGGCCGTCCACGTAGTGTTCGTACGAAAAAGGTGGTCAAAGCAGTAAGAGAAAGAATTCGAAGAAATCCAGTCCGAAAGCAAAAGATTTTATCTCGGGAGATGAAGATAGCACCTAGAACCATGTCGCGTATTTTAGTCTATGTACACAGGCTATAAATAATATTGTGACAATGCATTTCGCACGTTTTGAATCATTTGTTCTTATACTTTATTCAAATAATTCTAAAGAATGACAATCAATACTTATGCTAATGTAAATAAAAGTCAATATAATATAGAATCACTTCAAAGCAGTTGAGTAGGTAATAAATTATACAAAAGACCAATATAGTAGACACAGTATAAAGAGAAGGAAAGTAGGTTATCTTCATAAAAACGCACCGCGCGGCTTGTATGTGTGCGCCATAGTATCTACGCGTCAACGCACACACACTGTAACAAAATCTCGACTCGTTTCTCAGTGCGCCAGTCGGGGCTAACACTGCACGAGGTTCGCGCGTTACTGTTTTTCGGCACCGCTAAATCAAAACAAAATGTCTGATAATCACAGGAGAACGTATTGCTGTGTGTTTGGGTGTCTTAACAATATGTGTAAAAATACTACATTATGCCTAAAAAATAATACAATGAGAAAATAATATTAACACTAGCTCTTAGTCTATGTTACCGCCTGTGCCATCTAGCGACATAAAGAGTCACACCTAACATGCTTTGTAATTATATAGCAATGGTAAGACATTAAGATACTTAGTACTTGACTTCGTGTTCTGAACAGCTTCAGCAGCAGTGATACAAATTTTATTCGATTGTTTGATAACAACAAACAAGCTCCAAATTATCTTTTGCTTCTTTAAATTCTGTGTTCTAAATTCAAATAAAAGACTATTGTATCAAATTGTGAATGTGCCAGGTTCAAAACTGCATAAAAACTTTTTGCTCTATGTAATATAAAAATTTAAGCTAGGACCAAACGAAATTAAAAATACTAGGTGTGCCAATAGATGTGTCCAGAAGTCAAAGATATTCTCCTTGCCAGAAGTGTATAATGCTTTTATTAAAATTGTATACTAACCGGTTTGAAAAGTGCCGCAACAACTGAAGAGATTGTTGCATACTTCGTGCACAATATTATTTTATTTAGTTCTTCAACGTTTTGCCTGTGGCTTTCAACGTTTTTCTTGGGTAACTCCTCACGGAGATAGAGCCTCCCTGGTGGAAGACAAGAGCGTCAGAAAATTAATATCTAATAAAGCCTACATGAACATCTTAAATATTAATATAAAATAGCTTTTGATATTAATTTCAAGATATACATGTTCATGCCAGATTCAAAACCACCAAACCAAAATATTATCTAGCCATTTGTTCAAAACCAGGGTGAAGTCAATCTCATAATAAACAAATTGATAAGTTTCGCGCATTCAATGAAATTTAACGTTCTGGCACAAAAGGAAGCATAAGAGCAGATTGAGTACAGCTACGCATGTATTGTAATTATATAGCAATGGTAAGACATTCATGTTCTGAACAGCTGCAGCAGCTAATGATATATTATACCTGAGTATATTATACCTGATTTCTGTACTTTCACACATTTCGCACTTCTTTGCGCGAGACTGACCAGTGCTGAGCAGTGGAACCTCCGTAGAGCTGCTGACTGGAGACAAAATAAACAAATAGTTACAACTGAAACAAAAGTTTAGATACGATTTAATTCCCTTTGGTTTGCTTAACATACATGTGTGTCCATATTTACAAAAAAATACTAACAGAAAGTTTTGAAATGATATACCGTATAATAGTAAACCGCCACTGAACCCCAGAAGTTAAGGCGTATAGTACCCTCAATAACCTTGAGCATACTAGAGCACGACTGGTGAGGGCTGCGTTCGCCCGCTTTTTATTATATATGGAAATCCCAATAATATAACATGTTCTTTGCAAAATATTGACCGATTTACATAAGTGCTGCCCACTTTGTAGTAAAATTTAACACCGATTGATCTATTCAAAAAAAACCATGCCATTTAGAAGGAATAGGCATTCATGAACAAAATAGCGTGTTGGTAAATATTTTTTACTGCTTAACTTTTCGTCATAAGCAAATCAAATTTACTAGATTATAAAATGGGTTATTAATATTATTTTCTATTTAACTAAATGAATACATGCATTAATTTCTACAATTTATTTTCCTTTTTGAAGTCGGAATATTTTTGTTAAAAATTATTTATTTCACCATTTTAAGTAATAGGCAGAGCAAGCAAGTATAATGGTTTTCGAATGCAAAGACGACGGGTACTTGAGACCGAAAATCACGGTAATAGAAGTCTTGAATTAGTCAGTATTCAGTGCTGTAAATCGTGAGGAATTCCCTCGCCTGTCAATGGTCTCCATCATCATGTACACTGCAGACCTTCAATATACTTACATAATCCATATAGGTGCAAAGTTCTCATCAATATAAATGAATTAAGTCCAAGCACAACGTTATTACTCCAAATAGTCAAAAAGATCCCACGACAGTCTTCCTGCTCCATCATCAGATTTACTCCATAACTTCATTGTAACCCATATTGGTGTGTGAGTTTTCATCGATATAAATGAATTAAGTCCAAACACGAAGTAGTTACTGTGAACCGTTCAGAAGTTCCCTGAACTGTCCTTCGTTCTCATTATCAGACCCTTAATGACAGTGACGACCAATCTTGGTGCAAAATGCTCACCAATACGAATCATTCAGGCCCAAATACAAGGAAACTACTCCAAATAGTGCGGGAGATCCCTCGACGGTCTTAAGGCTTCATCATCAGGTCGAGTTCGACCATCGGCAAGTTTTAACGTTGTAAAAAGCCTACTAAAACAACGTGCAAAATCACAACTCGCCCCTACAATTTTCGAAACTACCCCTCGGTTTCCCTAAAATTCCATCATCAGATCCTGACCTCATGAAAATGGGACCCTCTCGGGTGTATAACCTTTCAAACAAAACAAGAATTTTGAAAATCAGTTCATAAATGGCGGAGTAATCGGCGAACATACAAAAAAAAAAACAATCAGCCGAACATAGTACCTCCTCCATTTTTTGAAGTCGGTAAAAGTATAAAACAAGATTTTCAAAGCAATTTAGAAAAAAATTAAGGCAGCATTCGACACAATTAATCAAATCTTACTTTTGTTACCATATCGTAGAAAACCCATATAAAACGCTTTTGTAAAATTTGAATACTAACCGGCTTGAAGAGTGCGGCAACAACTGATGATATTCTTGCATTCTTCGTACACAAAAGCCTATTTTTTTTTTATTTAGTTCTTCAACCTTTTGCTTGTGACTTTCAACCTTTCTCTTCAACAACTCCTCCCTGAGAAACACAAGAGCGTCAGAACTATAATCTCTTATCAAGGCTACATGAACATGTTACAAATTAATATAACACGATACACGGTATAATTAAGGAAAGGTAGCAGAAAACACAAGGTGCAACACAAGGTAGCTACTGTTATCCGTTGAAGAGTTTTCTTAGCTATTGTGATGAAGTAATCTTCATCACCAGACCCCTCATAACATTAACTAATCATCTAGGTGTTAACTTCTCGGTGATGCAAGTTAATTCAAGCTAAAACTCCGATGTAAGCCCCGCAAGCCCTTTCGTCTATATTTCGGCTCCATCATCACGTCAAATTCAGACTTTCGTAAAATTCGCAGACCCGAGAAATTAACTTATGCATAAACATACATGTTACACACTGTGTCTTATATTTTAATTACATTTTCTGTCTCAGGTCTACTGGAAGAAATTCCAGCAGGAATAAGTAGCACCTATGTACTCTTATTTTACTTATGTATTTTCGTCTGTGCTGTTTGTGTGTACATAAATTATTAAATACATATATCATGTACTAAAATTGTGATAACAATTCTAACTAACCTATCTAACAGGTTTGTAAATTGCCGCAACAACTGAAGGTATTCTTTCATTCTTCGTGATTTTTGATTTAGTTCTTCAACCTTTTGCTTGTGACTTTCAACCTTTCTCTTCAACAACTCTCTGAGAAACACAAGAGCGTCAGAACTATAGTTTCTTATTAAAATAGCTTGTGCTAGTAATTACAAGATAAACATAATAAAACAAATTGCTGATATATACAGGCTATAAATAATATTATGACAATACATTTCGCACGTTTTGAATCATTTGTTCTTATACTTTATTCACATAATTCTAAAAAATGACAATCAATAATTATCTACTATTCGTAGAAGGCTATACGCAATCTTATGCTAATATAAAGAAAAGTCAATATAATATAGAATCACTTCAAAGCAGTTGAGTAATAAATTAAACAAATCACTGTGTTCTAAATTCAAAAAAAAGACTATTGAATCAAATTGTGAATGTGCCAGGTTCAAATGTCGATAAAAACTTTTTGAGCTAATATAATTATAATTTTAGCAAGGATCAAACGATACTGAAAATACAAGGTGGGCCATTAGATGTGTCCAGAAGTGTATAATGCTTTTATTAAAATTGTATACTAACCATTTTGAAAAGTGCCGCAACAACTGAAGAGATTGTTGCATTCTTCGTGCACAATATTATTTTATTTAGTTCTTCAACGTTTTGCCTGTGGCTTTCAACGTTTTTCTTGGGTAACTCCTCACGGAGATAGAGCCTCCCTGGTGGAAGACAAGAGCATCAGAAAATTAATATCTAATAAAGCCGACATAAACATGTCGAATATGTATATAAAATAGGTTTTGATATCAATTAAAAGATATTCATGCCAAATTCAAATGATTCAATTGAAAATCACCCAACAAAAATATTATCTAGCCATTTGCTCAAAACCGTGGTAATTACGAGTATATAGCAATGGTAAGACATTCATGTTCTGAACAGCTGCAGCAGCTAATGATATATTATACCTGAGTATATTATACCTGATTTCTGTACTTTCACACATTTCGCACTTCTTTGCGCGAGACTGACCAGTGCTGAGCAGTGGAACCTCCGTAGAGCTGCTGACTGGAGACAAAATCAACAAATACTTAGAATCGCTAGGCTTGCCAATACACAGTCTTGTCATTTAATCATTATAGTCAGATATTATACCATTCAACATGGATTTGATTCTGCAAGCATGGTTCTCCTAATATTCTTTAATATTTAGGTACCTACCTAATAATTACTTATACTCCTAATTTCGCAGTTAGATACATTTTGTACGTTTATAATAAACAAAAAAGAATCATTTAAAACTACTTCCAAAACTTGTCAAATACCGTATTTTTATGCAAAAGTACCTCCTTAGGTATCAAAAATCACAATGTTCACAATGGTTGCTGTCGAAGTTTGGCATTCCCCATTTTTCTAAATAATGCACCTGGTGGTTGAGAACAACAACATTCGATGCATGCATATTGGCTTAAAAGCATCGCACAGCCGGCAATCTTTGTCCTCGTCTGACAACGATTGCCGGCTATGATTTTTGATTAGGTATTATGTATATAAGAAAATTAGGTTTTTTTATGTGCCTAAGGACTCCGCCCACTGGCCAAAATTTCAAAATATCTCTTCTCATCTACATATAACATTAAAAATAAAATTAATTAAGTAGAATAGATAAGTAAAACAGTAGTAGTAGTGGTAACGGCTTAATTGGCGGTGGTGATATTACATCAATTAGTTGACTGAAATAAGAGTTCTTACCTGCTTGTGGAGTTTTCTCATCTGGTTGTGGAGCGGTGCACTCTTTGTAATGTTCCTAATGCGTGTGTAAGCAAATAGCATGATCTAAAAAAACTTTTTAACAGTTTTTGGAAGTTCCGGCAAAATGTATATGTATACGCCAGCCAGGTAATGAAAATAAATTTAATAACGAGCGAATATATAGACTGCTCCTTTCTTACAAGTGCCTCGCAACATTGTAAATTTTAATTCATTAATTATACTGTTTCTGGTCTCTGATTATCCATTATCCACATCCCTATTTTTCTTTCTCTTGAATATTGGTAAGCATTGTAAAATTTGTCAGTTAAGTTGGTGACGACTTTTCTAACAATCGGTTCTTAATATTTTGAGTTTAAATATTTTTTCTTATGTTTTTAATTTGGTAAGACTTAATTCTAAAATTGAACGAGGCCTCGTCATATCGAGAAATCTTGTTGAAATTCTGTAATCAAAACAATTAATATATAAATAATATACCAACATACTACAAAATGTATTTTCAGAATACAGAAATTAAGTAAGTAGTATCTACGAAACAGTATGTTCACCTAGAAGTTAATGCTATCAATAATTAATGATAAACTAGAAAACATTAATCCTCTACATTAAAGTTAAACTAGAAAAAGAACAATACCTAAATAATAAATGGCAAGGAGCTTCACGGACACTTCTTTCAATCCCACGCTCTTCACTGCCATGGTATTGACTTTGGCGTCGATTTAGTAATCTTTATAAATAACTACCGGACATATGATATGAAAATGGGACGGTTGACATATGTCGGGCATGTCATAGTCCCGATGCATCCATCAGACATATGCTGTTAAGGTCAACAGCATATGTAACTGTGAAGTTACATATATTTGCGTTCTACCAACAAACTGATTGATTTTGCACCACAATTCCCAGAATTGTGGTGCAAAATCAATGATTGCATTATATAGCAAACCCCAGAGTCCAGACACGTGTTTGATGAATAGAAGTTACTTGTTTTCTTTATAATGGCAAGCAGACAAGGTACGTACCTCTATCAGAGGAGACCGTTACGAGTCGCGCGTAGAAAGAAACTGCGCTCCAATGGCTTCAACATTTGCCCGCGCATAATCTCTGAGCTTACATCGTCAAACACTACGGAACCGCTTGACAATTTCATTTTGTTACATGTAACTTCCTTTCCCTACACGAGAGTGGTAAACATCTATTAAAAATACCATTTAATATTTACATAATTATAATAAATCTAAGTTTGTATAAATCTTACTTTTCCAGTTTTTATGAAGTATTCTACATCATCTCTCAATACTAGGTCCCCTTTGGTAATGAAATCAAAGTTTTCCTTTATGGAACCAACCAGTCTGTGATATTTGCCAGGTTGCGCGGGATTTTGAAGGCAGGAATGACACGCTCCGAATGTACCTCTGTAATGTTATAACTGTTATTCGACAGATCAACTAATATCAAATGCAAATTAGCCTTTAGATTCGAAAGTTACCGCTGATTTGTTGCTTTCTGCAAACTGATAGCGTCACCAGTAAGCAAAGCACTACCCTCAATGTCGTCTTTAGCAGGTAAAAACGATTCACGAACATTATCATGCGATTTTTTTCCAGTATTGTCACCCTTTTCCTTTATTTCTCCGCCAGCGCGGGTTCCTCTTAACACCTTGAATGAAACAAAAATACGAACATATATTTCATTGCCGCAATATAAACACATATTTATTATGTAGGGGTAGATAAAGGTACGTCATATACCACAGATGCAATCTTGGTCACCGTTGAAACTATTGGCTTTCCAGTGTGACGGTCATACTGCAACTCGAACTCAACAGGGTCTCCTATCTTCATATTTTCAGTATTACCGCTAAATTGGCTAAAGTTAAAGAACAGCCGAGCCTGTCTCTTACAGCACTGAATAAATCCGCAGGAGTGCAAAAGTTTTTCAATAATGCCGGTCTCTCGAATAGGTGGGTGATTCACGCAGTATTGTTGCGACGAATAATGTTTATCAAATCCAGAGGAACAAATCAAATCGTCGTTTGGACCAATTTTGTAACCCAGAGAGTAGTGATCGACACCACGGGTCTTTGATTGGCCACTGTCATCATCCATAGTTGAATCCATGTTGGGTACTCACCTAAAATCAAAAGAAATTTTGGTCGAAAACGTATTTTTTTATATATAACTAATAGCGGCCCGCCCCCGCTTATGATATTTTCTTTGATAAGAACCTTTTCCTGACAATAACAAACATAACAAAAAAGAATTAGCACAATTGGTTAAGGCGTTGTTGAGTTATGCGCTTACCAACACATTTTGCGATCCATTTTTATATATAAGATACGAGTATGAAACTTATCAGATTGTGTGACGTGTGTAACAACATTAGACCTGTGTTAAGAAGATCATTAATAATATCTTCACAAATCCATTGTGAATAAATAACGTTACTTCTAAACGGCGAATAATCAGGGATAAGAAAATCATGTGATTTGACATCAAATCGATCGTAACTATAAAATACTTATTTAGTATTCTAGAGCTTTCAAGAAAGGAAGCAGGTTGAAAACGGGCAGGTATCTAAGTACTTTCAAAAACCTATTCAATTCCATCACACTTGAAGAACTACGCTAGAAGCGTTGTGGTTCTGGTCTTCAAAAGGTGTGATAACCAGGCGTCTAAGCTTTGTATAGAACTTGTTCTATACTTGTATAGAGCTTGACTTTGAGGGTCATCACGAAGGCTAGAGGTCTTCCAGCCTCCAGAACAAACCACATTATACAAAAGACAGAGGAGCAGCCATTGTGTCTAGCGTGTTCTTTTAATTCTTGTGGAATATGAGAATTCCTTCGATTCAATCGAATTTGGGCGGCCTACTCTGCCATGCCACGTCGACTATAAAGACATCGACGTGCTAAAGTATTTGAATAGACCATACGCATTCGTAGCCTGGGTGTCTGGTGAAATCGACAATCATGTTTTTATGACCAAATAGACACTCTTTTTAAAAAAATAACGCAATAATGCCTTTACCGCTTTGGCTTATTTTGGTCTTGAATTATTTGTGGAAGTCCAGAGAAGGTTTGTACGTAGGTTTGAAAACTTTAAAAAAACTAAATAAGTGCAAAATCAACATCCACACGAACGGAGCTGCGGGCGACCCTTGGTATTAAATTAAATTAAGTATCTCATGATAGTAACGTGTAACTGTATTCCTCAATGAAACCTTCAGATTATTAATGTTCACTGCTTTATTTGTTTTTATATTTGAAATAGACCTAGCCAAAGCTGATACCAATTATAAAGATACTAGTATTTATATGTATAGATATAGTAGATAGGTACTTAATAAGGGTGTAAGTAGGTATGGGCTGTTGGGGCATCTTACCACTACTATCTTATAAGCACTATTATCTTGGCTGGATTTTTTATGTAAGTATATCACACGCCATAAAGTTATATTTTACTGCACTATGTTTTATTTTAGTTTCACTTATTTCATAATTATGTGCAATACTTACCCTCCAATTGATTTGTCATTTACTTGAATTATTTTGACTGCCCTATTGAACTGGCTGCCGTGCAACACGTGGCGGGTTCGTGTTCCAGCACGAAACAACCACCGTTTCGGTGATCCACAATTTGTTGTTCAGGGTCAAGATGGAGCTGATTTATAAAATTGTGAAAATTGTACGTTGGTAAGGCACCCACGACAAAGAAAAGAAAGTTGTTGTGTTAAATAATTATTAAAAGACGTTGCCCACCCCTTTTTATTAAGGGATGAAGGTAGAAGGTAGATTAAAATAACTTTTTCGATAATCTACCTACACGTGTTTAACTTATTGTTCCAAATGCGTCGAATTAGTAAAAGTAGCGGTGGATCATAGCCACATTTTAATACATTTAGGTACGCAGCGAGTATCCGAAAGAACAGCGAATAAAACTGGTAAAAATTTGAAATGCCGCCGATTCCAACGCTGCCGCCATAAGACAAGACAATTCATTAATCACGATCCTTTGGTGCAATTATTATATCGTATTTGTACACATGAAACATAATAGTAAGGACTTAATGACGATGATCATTTAAAAGGAAACAAACTGGAATAAAAAACTCACCATGACTCGGCTGTGCACTGACGACGTCCCGCCGTAAGGAACGTCAGCCAAAGAAAGAGCTATTCGTAAAAGTTCAGGCGAAATATCAGCATTAACCATAGATTATACATACACAGAATTATTGGCGTATTTATCGTCTCAATATCAGGTACAAGTAACACTGTTACAGGTACTACACAGATATTTTGGATTTGCTGTTGTAGTTGTTGTTCTTGCGGGTAAATATCAACTCAGTCAGTCACAATAGCAGGTCTTGATAATAGGAAGAACAGGATTATGTTATGGAAATGGTGTAAAAATGGTTATTTTTACCCAGCAACAACGAAGAGAGTGGATTTCGAAAGTTCCTTTTTAATTAGAAAGCTTATACTTACTTTTAAGTTTTCCCCACTGTTACCAAGTCAGAATCTGATCATAAGTTTTCCCCACTGTTACCTAGTCAGAATCGGATCATGTTCTGGTTTCCAGGTAAATCGTTGAAAACTGCGGAGATTTGTGGAAGTGACTTGTTTTTTTAGCACCTAATATTATCCTATGTTTGTTGGTTAAGTAATTAAGTATTTTAAAGTAAGGCACGATCAATAAGCGATATCTAATTTATGTCAACACTAGATTTTGCACGTGGATTCGCCTGCGTGCTATGTCGATAAAAAGTAGCCTATATGTTAATCCAGAGTATCATCTAGCTACGTACCGAATTTCAACCAACACGCAACAAACACCCAAAAAGCACGCAAAATGACAACCAACCACCACCAACCATCCATCCATTCTCCCAAACTTTCATATCCTACTAATATTGTAGTAGTATTGTATCCTAATAATACCAGTTGCAAAGAGTAAAAAAAAAGTCCAAGTAAAATAAAATGAAATAGTTAAAAATCCTATTACTAAGTCTCCGATGTTAACGTTACGGATGGTTTTATTATATTTTCTATACCTAATTAGATCTTATTTTAACTAATAACGGGAAGTCGCGGGCGGAAGCTAGTTTATAGGTAATACTTATTAACATAACATTCTGGGCTTGATTTAATCGTCAAATAATGAGAGCCTTATCCACCAATGTAGAAGGATAATTTTCCTCTGTTGTCGTTTACTGCTTTAACTGTAGTAGTGGCAATAAAATCTTCGCCTCTTTAAATTTCATACACAATCCAACTTATATTTCCACACCTAGGAACACAATTTGTCTAGCGAAACTCACGGCTGAGATAGTTTTTAAAGTTAACACAGTATACTGTCTAGGTTTTGAAATACCTAGATTTTGCCATCTCCAATATTCTATTATGTCACTTAATCCTAGTATGCTTGGCAATCGCCATTAGAGAATACGCGTATATATAAATAAACAGCCACTACGATCGACCTCCGGCCACGTTAAGCACGGGTCTGCAGCCTGCGGGCGCGTTCCTGCTTGCCGCCTATCCAGAACTAGACCTATACGTACGGTGCGAAGCGTGTCCCGCGCGCCTCAATGAGCCAACAGACCGCCACCGTATGAGGCCTAACAGAGCCGGTGTTCAGCCCGGATTGTGGGACGGGGATGAAAATGTCCAGCCTAGTTCCTCTTGAGACCTGCGACTTTCCGTCCAACCTCAGTGATTTTCATCTCACAAAAAACAATATATCGACAATATCGACATCGGTACTCTCTAAATAGTCTCGAGGTGGTGTTGTCGGACGTGACGGTTTCAGGACCCTCATGTTATTCAGTTTCAGCTCGATGCCGTCTAGGTAAGATTTTATTGTTTGTTAAAAAAAAAATCTTGTCCTTATCGGTGTTTTGTTATTCTTGTTGCAGAGCGCTTGTTTCAAATGTCTTTGTTGTTTGCGATGCCACGTGGAGAATACACACATGGCGGGCGATGTACTGGTTTTTGGTCATCCCGGTAAACATTTTGCACCTAGATGAGGTGTGATTTTAGTTGATGGCAGTAATGAAATACGAAAGTCGTAATACTTGTATTTATTAGATTTTTCATTACCCTATGTAGAAATTAAGTAGTTTTATCACTTGAGGGACCGAGTTAAAATATCAGTATTCTTACAAACCAATAATTATCTAATCGTATAATATAACGGTATCTACCAGTTCCAGTGAAAAATAATAAAAACCTTTTTTAAAAGAAAACTTTGCGCCACACTAGGATTTTCTCCTGCGTCGTGGGTGTGTTTACAAAGATACAATTTCACATACACATCACACCCGGACCACCAGGAACAACAATTTGTAGATCACTTATAGAGTTGTCCCGTGAGGGAATCCAACTCGCGACACGTTGCGCGGCAACTAGTTACCCAGCCACCGCGCCAGCCGTGCAGTCAGAATAGTTTCTAACCATGGGTTGTTTACGTATTTTGTCCCTCCTTTTTTTTAAATCGGTCTTTTTATAAGCACTTGTGATTTTTGCCGAAATGAATGAATTCAATTTAGGGTAAACGCACCAGTAATGGAAGGACCCAATTATGGAGGAAAAATAGTTAAATATCCAAGAATAAGGACGTTAACCACTTTTTTATGTTGGAAATACTGTGACGTATAATTTAGATCTAAAGCTGTTATAGTTTAAAATTTTATTTCATTCTGCCAGTTAGATGGAAAAGTGGCGGGATTTTAAAGGTTTCCGGTAAGTACCTAAAAATTGATATTCGTTGCTTTTCTTAAGGAATTTGTTAGTGCGATAAATAAAAAGTTTCATCTTTAAGCTGGTATTGCTTTATTTTAATCAGAATGTGTTTTGTTTGTTGGGTTAATTATGAAATGAAAACAGCACACACTTGTTGTTGTAGATCAGAGAGGTTGTTTTTTTGGATTTTTATTGATGTTCAGAACTGGTGCGATGTAACAAAGAGTTCTAATTATGGACAAATGTCGAAACTTGATTACAAGTACTCTTGTATGATCAGGTTTTTAAACAGATTTTATTCTAATTTTTATTCTATGCTACAAATTAGTAATATATATTATGTATTACTATAAGTTATAAAAATAAGGATGTGTACGCGTGCACCAGCAATAAGTCATCAGTCCTATTTTCAGTTATTATTTGAAATGATGAAATATAATAATTTATTGTTTTTGAAATGGGCTGAGCTATTGGAACAGCAAAAAAGGGTTAAAATACTGGAAGTATTGAATAAGAAAGCCTGATTGAGATTATTTTCTAAAAAAAACCATTTAAATATTTTAGTGTACCTCATCACATAATAGAGTTAAGAACATTGTCAAATTGGAAAAAATAATCATAAGGATTTTATTCTATTAAATTTTATCAACATTTCAATAATGATTCGTAAATTCTACGATTATTACTAGGCGTGTCATACTAGATTTGTGTCTAGAACTGGACGTCCATGACTAGGTTCATGTCCATTACTGGATGTCCATGACTGGGTTCATGCCCATTACCTACAGGATTTTTGCTATCCATAACTGGTGTCCCAGTCGACACCAGTTTTGCAATATCTCATACCTAGGTAACACAGTGGAAATATCGTGTAAGCGAAGAGCACTTTAAGCTTTAGGCATTTTCTTTACTGAAACTTTACAATATTGGTAATATTTTACAAATACTTACTAATATTTTTTCTCTCAAACTGTCCATAATTGGGCTGTTTAGCCTACTATAAAGATTTACATTAGGTACATTTGTTATTAAGCGAAAGAATGTTGGTTTTACTTTTAATACTCACAAAACAAAATAGTTTTACACTTATAATTCAATTTCTAAATTTATTCATTTAAAATTAATTTCCATACATATTCCATCATAAGCTATAATTTAATACGTCTTAGCAATATTCATATTAAATCTCTTTTAGGTTGTAGAATTGGGATGTAATAAGTTAAATATTATACCTGTTCTTATAACAGGTAGGTATTATGGCATGGACAAATGTTCCGAAAAAATAACAGTTCTCAATACCTTTTATTTAATCTAATTCCCATCTTAAATATCGGTATTGAGAAGACATCGCATTGTTCTCTATGGTATAACCACAGATTACAAAACAAAGGCAGATAGACCCTGCAGAACACGGAAGTGAAGCCACCAAAGCAAATACAAATTCAAAAGCGATTACAAATTCGAGTCAACTTTCAAGCGTCACATCGTTATGCGTCATAGATAATATTATTATACTTTAAGAATAATGCCGTTTTGTGTTCTCAAGTAGTGTGAATGTTGTTCCCAAAAATAAAAATAAAGAGGAAGGAGTTTGTTTTCATAGTTAAATATTGATTATTTTTCTATTTGGATATTATTTTAATTGGGTAATTACCCACGTAAAATATTTTTTCAGTGAATTCTCGGAACACAAAACCTTAATAAACATCGGTCGGTGTTGCTAGTTTACTTTGAAATCTTTTACCCTTAAGTTGGGTAATATGTATGGGAAACAGGATATTGACTTCCGAAAATATTTCGATAACAATGTTTTGTTTGTCTCACTTTTTGATTAGTATTTTGAGAAAATAAGTCATAAATAAATTATGTTATAGTATGTCATAGTTTGATGGACATGCTAAAAATGTTACGACCATGGGATTGCTTGGTTCGTTTGTTTGCAATATTATAACAACTTAGTACAAAATAACGGCTGCTAATTACTTATATTTACACATCATTACATTTTTATAGCGGCGAGAACTTTTGATATTTATGAGCTCTTCATTGTTTTGCAATACATTCACATTTCATAAGGTTTTTTTTGAAAAACGAATATCAAACTACAGTTATTAAAGAAAATACTCAATTTAATCAACTACTTATGTTTATTACAATAAAACAAACAACATTATACTAACTAATTGTAGTGCTATGTATTAAAATACAAATTAACAGCCACACGTACGCACACACAGATTGCTACATATACAGTTTAGGAAAAACACTTATTACAAACACATAAAACGTTCAATCACAAAAAAATCTATTACAGATCAAACACACTGAAGAATTAATTACTTAATAATAGTTGTTGACAGATTTTACAATTCATTAAATCCCAAAAAAATATTCATTCATTCATTCATTATTCATTTACTTTTAATAATTACTATTAATTATAATTACAATTACATATAATAGAAAGATACACACAATAAAAATTAGTAGTTACAATTGTGAATTTATTAATAACGACTTACTTTGGGAATTAAGTGTGGAAAGCTTTCCTAGTATTTAGTCACAACAGGAAACTTACCCGACGGTCACCCTAATATAAAAAGCAGGGTGGCCGTCGGGGAGACGCGCGCAGCCTAAACAGCAGTAGTTTTTACATTTAATAAACTTGAGTAAGTCATTATTTTAGATAACAGAAATAAAATGAAAATTCTACCTAAGAGATCGGCCACATCGGACACAGTTACATGTTTGTTTCCTGTCTACCTGTTGACTACCACGATAGCGTATGTCCGCATGCATAGTGCTTGTGATGGCTCATTTATATATAAGGAAATGTCTGTCTCATTTATCACAAGTGCTGAAATAATTCACGATAAAAGTAAAATGTGTTTATAATATAGCTTTCTAAGGTAAGGTTGATTGTTATCATTCGAATTAGTAATAAGTTTTCGTTAGTCGGATATACAGTCTCGCAATAGTCAAAAGGTTTCCTAAAAAATATGTTAAATTAATGTTTGAGAGGATTATTATATTTTATTATTTAAAACATATTTTGTTCTATACACTTAAAAGTATTTCTTGTTGAAGTATAAAACATATAAAATATCAATTACTGTACTTTGAAATATTCTAAAGTCAAATTAAAATATACTTATAATCATGAGGTCAGTCCTATCTTATATTATTTCATTTTCCCTCGAAACATTTGCTAGTTATGTTTACCAATGAAATAACTATAATTTTAATGTGGGTGATTTAGTAAAAACTATCTCGCACACTTTTAATTGTATTCTAAGTTGACAAATATTAAGTCCTAACCGATAAGAGCGAGATGGTCAAGTCATAGAATAAAATATACAGTACTTATATTCATCGAACAAAACATTGAATGCTATCTTTGCTTTACAGAGGGTTCCGTCCATCAGCAAGTTCAGTTTTCCGCCCTAAAGACAATGCCAGCTTTAAAGTAAGAAATCGATAAACGTTAATAATTATTAGTTAATTACTTACATGTATCAACAAAACTTCTTTATTGTAAGGTAACAATATAATAAAAAATATTTGAGCTATACATAATAGCACTCTTGTAAATATCCTCAATAGCTCAAGGTCACGTGGCGTGGACGGTTTATCAGTAACTCGTATTTCGCACTTTTGTTAGTAAATCGAGTTGATGTTCATTTTCATTTACTTACTAGACGTTAACAACAGCCCCGTCCGAATATCATTTCATTCCAGAGAAAACGAGTTGAGATCGAAATCAAACTTATTAATAGAATCTCAAGGACTAGGTTTTCAAAATCGAAGACTAAACTAAACGGATTGTTGCGTTTGTTTCTTGAGTATTTTAGTAAATTGTATTAGATTTCAAACTCCCAGTCCTTCCTATTGTCCATTAAGTAACAGCAAGTAAAATATTTAGTTTATTAACCTATAGATAGAATGTGTCATAAAAATTGGAAACATTCGTACTGTTAATATTATGTTACAACAATAATTAGACAATATATTGTATCTATGACCTCTTAGTATTTCAATTTCACCGAGCTACGCGATAATCGTACCCTCTGAAACAATACCTTTATCATATAAACCTATGCATGAGTGTGTAATCTCCGAAAAATCTGTCTGTCAGATGTCATTTTTTGTAACCTGTCAACAACAAAGTTCTAGAGACCTTTACTACTATCTTTTGCCCCTTTTACCTTTCCAGCTCTACCCTGAACCTACCCCTTTATTTCTAAGAACATTTTCCTTGCAGTTACAGATACGACCTAAATGTTTCTGTTCTTATTATTTGGGAAACAATTTAACAAATCGTTTATATAATAGATGTTGTAAAACTTTGAATTACATTCCGTTTGATTACTTTTCATGTTTAAGACTTTTTATCGAATAAATGGCAACCAAGCTGAATCTCAATGAATAGAACAAGACTTGCTAGACACGTAACTAAAGTAATATTGAATATTAAAAGAAAACGTGAATTAACTGAGAAAAGCTCAACCAGTTTCAAGTCAAAATGAGACTCATTGATAAGACAAGTCGAGTGATCACGCGGCTGGGCCGGCAAACGCTTGGAAACAGAGCCTAAAATCTACGTCAATCCCCAAGTATTCCCAACTTAGAGTGTGACACAATAAGCGTGGCATGTAACACTGATTCGACTCAGGAATTGAACCTAACCCCATCGCCGCTGAACGAGCCGGTCAACATCGTCACCAACGCTACCGCACCGTTGCAGTTGGAAGCAAGCGCACGCCTTTGACGGTAGCAGGCGCAATTCCAGCTGCGTGAAAAAGAGCCCCGTCGTGACTTTAAACTGGAAGAAGTTCGTTTCTCAGTCGTTATTGTCATTAGTATGTTTCAAGATTATTACTAAGTAGAGATTTAATAAAAACATGAATATCAAACTTTGTTGAGTTTTTGACAGATTACAAAAAATCTAGATGTAGAAGGTTTTAGTTTATTCACCGTTAATGTCCTAATTCGTCATCTCTTTATGAAAAAGCTATTGTTAAATAGGTTTTTTTAAGATGTTTGTTTACCGTCAGACATATGTTTTGTTACAAATTACTAAGAAAAAATATATATATTATTACAAAATAAGTATTCTTGTATTAGAGATAAGTATGTATCTTATAATCTAATATGGCTTATTTATTGCTTCTTGATATTGCCACTAAATACTAGATAGCCTTGTAAAAAGGCAAGTTGAATGTCCATAATTGCTGAAGTTATAGATGCGATAAAAAAAATAAAAAAAGAAGCTTTGACATTTTGAAATATGGGGAGTATTTGTGTTCTTATTAAGTTTTCCATTAAGAACTTCTTGTACCAACCAATATCAACATATCAGATGTTTGGCCTGGTTAATTGATGAATAACTAGAGCCCGTATCCGACTTCAGTTTAAAACAAATTTTATTAAGGGTAGTTTGCAATATATTTATGTATAGATAGTTAATTGCAACAGTTAATTATTGTTTTATCAAATTTATTGAATTATTTTTTTATTTATCACGTGTTCAAGATTATAGAAATATCCGAAAAATGGCGTTTGAACACGAAACAGCCAGCTCGATGCGCGTTAATAGCGCATTCGCCGTTTGTGACATTATTTTCTGCAGCAGTAACGAAAAACCGCTCTTGGATAAAATAAATGAAAATTAGCGTTTGTAATTCCTGTTGATTTTTTAAAATGTGTTTTATGTTACTCTGTGTAGTAATAGGTAGGTAAAAGGTAATAGTTTAAGACAACAGAGATTATTTTATTCATGAAATATATAAATTGTAGAAATACAACTTGACTACAAGGCTGTCTACAAAAATCTGACCGATGTAAAGGCGTTTAATGTTTTATTGTTTCAATACACAAATATTATAAACTACATACTAAACAAAGTGGAGAATTGACTGTTAAAGATGCAAATAAATATAAATAGCCAAAAAATATAGTATAAATGTATTTTTATGACGTGTGACACCTATCTTATGGTACCAATTGAAATTATGTATGTAATGTTTCTATTATAATTTTAAAGAAGACCGGACATTACATTGTTGTCACTGTTATTTGAATTTACACCACCTGGTTTACTGACGAACAGACTGACGGACTATTTTTCTATTTGACGTTTCGAATATATTACATTATGGTAAGTAGGAAGAAATGTTTTTTACTTTGACAATAGTTGCGAGATGTGTGTATTAATAACTGGGTGTTGGTTATTCAGAAAACAGTACTAGGTTTCTGTGGGACAGTTTTCGGATTGTCAAAATCTAAATTAGTGCATAGTGACGAAGCCGGAGTACTGGGCTCCTATTTCTGTCCTATCTGTCTACCATGTCGGATTGTCATATCGTCTACTGAAACTAGTTTAGCCTAGGCCAAACCAGTTTATTCTGAATCAGATTTGGTAAGGTGTGCTTTAACTGTAAAAAATTGTTTTTGTCATATAAAAATTATTAGTCATATTACTCTCATACTGCTCTAAAATATAACAAAACATTTAAAACGGTAGGATTTTAATAGACAACTCGAGTCAGTCCCAAATAATGTTACAAAAACCCATCTAGAATCCTGCATAGTCATAAATAATAAAATAATCTCTTTGGGCTACTATATCATATGATTATCTATTGTACAATAGCGCCGACGTATCTTGGCGAGTCTGAAGTTAGCCGAGTAGCTGCGCAGTACACAATTTTGTTCCTAAAATATCCATTGCGCAGACAAACAGCTAACTTCAGACTCGCCAAGATACGTCGGCCGTACTGTAATCGTGCTGCATTTCAGTTAATAACTTCATCGTGACAATAAAATCATATTTTTCTACATTTGTAACAAAACATATGATTAGTTCAAAAGTTTTTAGCATTTGTCAGCTTTGTATACATTTCTTCTTAATTATTCTAAGTTTATACCTACTTACTATATCTACATTCAGTTCGGTTACCAACCCCTATCTATATCACGAGGCATCTGGTGGTACCACTGACTCGGCGTTCAACAGCATTTTGGCCAGGAACGTCATGAAGTTGGGGGTAGCCATCAATCCCTGAAATAGGAAACAAAAGTTTAGTTATGTTTTAATTCCCTTTGGTTTGCTTAACATAGGTACATGTGTGTCTATATTTACAAAAAAATACTAACAGGAAGTTTTGAAATGGTATACCGTATAATAGTAAAACGCCACTGAACCCCAGCAGTTAAGATATAAATATAACATTGACATGCTAGACATGTTTTAATAATATGATACTTACGTTCTCTTTTTCTGGCATGATATTTAGACCATTACTCCCTGGCATTTTCTAAAATAAAAGAAAACATTAATTAGCGCATACAAATTATGCACAGTGCAACTGGTTAGATTGGTTATTACAGTAATAATCGAATAAATAGATTTAATTTGTTCGACAGGCCACTGTGTGTGTATTTCAGCTTCTCGGACGTCTTCTATGGTATGTGATAGGAAACGAACAAACAACAATAATAATATTGTACACCTTAGAGAATTTTGTGACATGAGTATATTGAGAGAGGTACAAAAATAGTATAGTACAGCTCAGGAAGAATCTTATGCGGTGACATTTGGAACTACGAAATGTTTGCTGTGGCAACACTATTAAAACTTCCGCCACCGGTAATTTCTGTGTCAAAAAAATAATTCCGTCGTGTTATTTCACTGCTTGTTACAAAATTTATCAACGATTAATGTTTACTTGTATATTCATATTGATTAAAACTATTCGTTCGTAGAGCAGTGATATTATATTAAGTCTACTCGAGATATGTAGTCGAATCTGAAGTGGCAACAATTTGGCCTCCGATTGACATTGCTTATCAGAAATATGCTAATTAAGTTATTATATTTATATACTAATTCCTTATTTCATCAGTAACATGAGTTTATTGAGTCTATACATAGTCTGGCCATAAATACTGTTACAATTAAAAATAAACAAAATATTACATTTGAATTTGGAATCTGTCATTTTTATATAATTTTTCACTGTGTTTTCTTATTTTGGCGCCGATAAATTGTTCAATATTTTGCGATATTAAAATGGAGTGGGGTGATAAAGAGAACCGAATCGCTGTGATTGCATTACACAAAGTAGGTATGGAGCCAAATGCAATTTTTAAAACTCTCCACACGCTTGGCATTAGTCAAATGTTTGTGTACCGTGCTATTAATAGGTACAATGAGACCTCCTCTGTTTGTGACATAAAAAGATCGGGCCGTCCACGTAGTGTTCGTACGAAAAAGGTGGTCAAAGCAGTAAGGGAAAGAATTCGAAGAAATCCTGTCTGAAAGCAAAAGATTTTATCTCGGAAGATGAAGATAGCACCTAGAACCATGTCGCGTATTTTAAAAGACGACTTAGGACTTGCAGCCTATAAGAGACGCACTGGACATTTTTTAAATGATAATTTAAAAAAGAATAGGGTGATAAAATCTAAGCAACTACTGAAGCGGTACGCAAAGGGAGGTTTGATTTCGGATGAGAAAATTTTTACAATTGAGCAACATTTTAACAAACAAAATGACCGTCTTTATGCTCAAAGCTCTAATCTTTTTTTAAATATATAAATTAAATGGAAGCTCTAGGTTTTGAGAAGTCTGTCCACATATATTTAAATTAATCTGGTTAGATTTATAAAATAATAAAAATAATTTCTGGACGTGACCTTTCACAGAAATCGGTTCAGTAGTTTAGGCGTGAAAAAAAGACAGACAGACAGAGTTACTTTCGCATTTATAATAAAAGTTTGGATTTTAAATGTCAACAGTAAAAAGAATACAAGACTAGTATAGTAAACCCACAGTATTTGGGATATGACTGTAGAGCTGCCTAAATTTTGCCACATTTTTTAACCAAGCTGTACCATATATATACTACTTTTGTACCCAAAAAACCTTCGATAACTATTCCCCAAAAATCCGAATTTGTCCTATTTGTAGTATTTTTCCAGTTCAGAATACATAACAATTTAGAAAACAATAATTAGGCAGCATTCGATAAAATTTATCAAATCTTACACTTTTATTTAATAAATAAAAAAAAATTAAATTATTTCTCAAATAACTGTAATATGTGCATGAAAAATATTTTTGTAAATACTTTTACTATTGAATAGTTTATTCATCAGTTATAAGCCAAGGCTATTAATTAATACAGTTGTTTTCAATTCTCCACTTTGTTTTTTTACTTCATCAAGTAATAATGTTGCACTCCACAACTTGTAAATAGACATAAATTAATAACTAACACAACGTACTACGGCGTAGCAGTACGTAGCTCATCTCGTAGCTAATTTGGGTCGAATATCGAAACTTATGTTATTTTGAACCAAATTATATTTTGTATGCCAGTGTGAACCAATTAGACAAGAGTTTTCAACTTAAGTAATCAAAGTTCATCAGTCGAATAAGAAATCCAAGTTACTAACATGTACTTAGGGACTCGCAACGAATCTTTCTATAAATTTCAAAAACGACTTAAGTATTTGGTGTTTGAGAAATTGAATTTATTTGGTTAATAGCAAGAGGAAGGGAGGCAGGGGGACATCTAATACATAGAGCCCTATTCTCTACTCTCATTTCCGGTAGTGAGCAATGTCGTCATCCGTATTAAGATTGATAAAAGATCATTAAAATTGCGAAACTAGAGTAAAAGCTTACTTTTATCGTATGACCGCCTGTATATCTTCAACGCGTCTGTTTTTGTATGGTTCACGAGACAGAGATGTACGAAGTATATAATTATCATTAATAATAACAAACTGAAAGTAACAATTAGATGAATAAATAAACATTTTTCTCCTCTAGTAAATTTAGTTTTACTATTTTCAGGTGGCATTTTACTGGAAAGTCAAAATCGTGGGCTCCTAGATATTAATCGAGACATGCTTAGCCAACTTTCAATATTATTTTTAATATAATTTATTTAATGTTGGTACTACATTATAGGCTTATTTACAAAAGAGAGCCTTGGTACACAGAAGCGACAGCTATTCCCCCGTCAACGACTTGAATTCTCTTATTTTGATTAATGTGGGAAGTTCAACAATATATCTAGTATTGGATACGACTTTTTTGTTGTTAACATTGTTGGCAAAGGATTTCCATAACGGCAGTCACATATTAGGTATCTTGTTATTTGAGAGTCTTAAAGCTTGAAAATAGAAAAAAAAACTATCTAAACATACGTACCTAATAGGGTAGTTGTATGCTGAATAATATATTACT